TATAGAAAGTACATGCTCTCCAGTGACTGTGGGCATTTGTGCACATTTGTGCTGTAAAAACATAGGAGGGTTAATGAATGAACTCTGAAATAAGTGCCCCCAAACTTCAACTATTCATTATTTAATGGAAACTGAAGAGAATAATGCATTGATAAAAAACTTACCTTTGTGGGCCTAATACACCCTACCCAACAAACACCCCTGAGCCTCCCCCCCCCAAAAAAAAAGTTAGGAGGCAGAAAAATAGTTGAAATGCAGGGATTGGTTGTTTGGATTGAATGTTGGTACTGACGCTTGCTATTATTTTAGGCCATTCCTTGTTTGTTGCAGAGACGCTCTCAGAGGCAGTCAAAATCTTGAAGATCGATTACCTGCTGAGAGCCATTAACGAGCACAACATGGACCGCGGTATCATCTTCTGCCGCACCAAGCTGGACTGCGACAACTGTGAGAAATACATGGCAACTCTAGGCGGAGGTGAGTCGTGGGCTGTTGCCCTCACCAGGTAGTGTGCAGTGTTGGGGTTTGCCTAGTGTTTAAGTCCCCCCCACTGAGTCATTTGATGCAAGATATATCGCAAATAAACTCGGGGCTTCACTTGTGTACCATAGCTACTGCTTCATGAATTCAGATCTATGCACCTGCTTCAAAGATTGCTCCTATCACTGGTGTCCTGCTAAACGTATCTAGGGAGTAGCATTCAGTTTGTGCACACATCTATGGAGTAGCGTTTTTTTCTGCTACTCTCCGCAGCCCCATCCTTTTCCACCAGCCAGCCTGTCATGTAGCAGGCACTGTATTGCGTGCTCGTGGTCTTGTTCCCTTAATATCGATCTCTTGTTGCACCCCTTCAACTCGCAGCAACCGGACAAGAACCAGTTGTGTGGTATTAAAGTAGCAATGCTACTCAGCATAGGTGCGAGGTTCGTTTGCCACATATCGTGTATGGTATACCCCGATTAATGGCTGCATGGACTGTACTTGGAAACATGTTTGATGCAACTTTATCCATGGAAATTTTTGATTACTGTTTCACATCCCTTTTTGCTAATTCATAATTACCTTTTACATGTTTTTTCTGATAAACGATGTCACTGATGCCATTTCATAAAGAAACTGTTCCTTATTGTGAACCCAAACTTTGTACACCAGAAAGATGTTGCTTCTTGGCCCACTTTCATGAACTGAAACAACAAATTATAATTGAGACAATTAAGACAGCCACGTTTTGGCTGTTATCAGTAATATTCTAAATTTCTTGCAAATTTTGCGATGAAATAACTGTAACTTAAAAATTTTCTTCATGGGAAGACGTCACATTGTTTCATGAAATTTTCTTTTTCCTGGACAATGGCAAAATGGAAAGTATGATAGGGTTAAATGGGGCAGTGATGAGATCAGTTGACAAAGACTGAATCCGACAAATTAATGACCTCTTGACATTACCCCACCTTGTTCCTGATATCTCCAGGTCCGCTAGCTCCTGTCAATCATCAGTATTCCTGTGTCTGTCTCCACGGGGATCGCAAGCCTCCTGAGCGCCGTGACAACCTGCAGAAGTTCAAGGTAAAGCTTCCGAATTTGCTGGCTCATCGTGTGTTGAAATTAGTGTAGAGTAGCTGCAGAAAATGGAACTTAACACTGGCACACCACTTTGAAGTTCATTTAAATTGATTTGTTTTTTTCTTTTCATATGTAAAAGATTAAATACGCTGATTTTCGCCACAGGCAGTGTAATTAATTTGGAAATCCAGTCTAGAATAACATGGTGTAAATTCTGTAGAAAACTTGAAATGAAGTACACCAGAGAATAACTAATACTGAGGACTCTCATGTAACAGGTGCATTGAATCGTTATGAATTGGGAAAAGCCCAAAACAAGCTGAAGACAGTGGGATAAGGGGAGCAGAGACCAGACATGTCTTTTGCTCAGTGTGATTGATTTTAAACAGGGTTATCACATCGTAAAGTATACTGTACCTAGCATATGGACCAAATCTTGACCAAAAGCAAAACAAGCCATGTGGCTTTGATAAAAATGACTCGGAGAGATATGTTTATGTCTGTTGGAAATAGCAGATATAATTTTGATCAGCATGGCTTGTTCTAGTTATTAGAGAACTTCTGAGTTACTACATCTGTCACCATGTTTATTCACCAGGACGGAAAGGTACGTTTCTTAATCTGCACTGACGTTGCAGCAAGAGGCATTGATGTCAAAGGAGTCCCTTATGGTGAGTATTCTGGGGTCAGAGGTCATTGGTTTATTACCACTATTTGCAGAGGTGATCTGGAAGGGTAACAACTAAAAGACACGTACCACAAGCCGTCCCTGAAATTACAGTGGGAGAAAGTCATTTTGAAAAAAAAAAAGAACCAGTTAAACAATGTCATTAACCTTGTAGCCAAATCTGAAAAGACTGCATGTATCTGTTAACACACCACACCCATGTGCCCATTCATGAACGTGATGATGGTAAGTCAGAGCCACCCTGTCAGTCAGAGCAGCAAGTAGTGCGGGCCAAGCACCTGTCCACAATGATGGTGCAACCCCATTAACAGCTACCAGCTGCCTTAAATAGCTAATTCCACTTGCCTAATGAGTCTTTTACATTACATGGACACGCTTGCCCAATAAGAATTGCAAGGGTAGACAGCTATGATGAAACAGTGATTGTTTTTGCCATAAAAAATAATGATGTGCGATGGCATAGCTCACATCTGTGCATACTGTAGCATACATCATTGTATGGTGATGTGGTTTTCCCAACCTGATGCACACTCTAGAATCAGGAAACCAATCTTTGGGGTTGTGCTGTATGAATTGGAAATGAACTGTTTAATTCCCTTTCTTGGAGCAGTTGTGAATGTCACACTACCTGATGAGAAGGAGAGTTATGTCCATCGCATCGGCCGTGTCGGACGAGCAGAAAGGCAAGATCACCTCAAATCCATTATCCCTCACTACAAGTCCCTCAAAATCCAACTGTAGGGTTTGTCAAGTTGTGGCTGATTCGGCACCATACGTTATGAACTTGTGTGACTTTGTTGGAGTGAGGAACAAAGGCCTAGGGTGATGGTGTTGGATTTTGTTTTGTGGGGATGCACAACGGTTGATTTATGGAGTGACTGGCTAGTTGTACCATATATTGATCTGTGCTTGATTTTGTCAGGGTTGGTACTTACTACTCTGCCAGTCACCAGGGCCCAATTTCATGGCGCTGCTTACAGCAAGCAAAAAATCGGCATTTACCGTAGCAGAAGATTCTGTGCTTACGGCGAAGGTATTTCATAGGTTAGCGAGGAAATTTGGCTTGTGCGCATGCGTACATCCTGTAACTAAGGATTCTGCACTTGAAAGGTTGGTGCAGAATTTCCTTCTAGCACTGTTAGCGCAGAATGGATATCATAAGCGCAGGATTCTACTGTAAGCAGCGCCATGAAATTGGGCCCTGTACACTGCAGAGACCTACATGTATCCATACCAAATAACTCAAACTTTAACACTGTCGAGCTGTTGGAATTTCAACAGATTCTGTCCAGTAATGTGCAAGTAACCACAGCAGTCCCCCTTGTAGATACAGGTTGTATCTGTTGAAGTTTGTTAGGTTCAGTGCTGTTTCTCTTATAAAATCCTAGGAGGTTATAATTCAAGAAGGGTTGAAAATTTAGAAGGTAGAAGATTTTCAGAAAGCAGAAAACAAAATTTGTGAGTGTTTTTACTGCCCTCTAAAGTAAGAGTAAAAATTATTCAATGGTTGTATTGATCACTCAAAACTGTAGAAATAGAATATTTAATGGTTTCATTTGATTTCAATTTTCTTTCTACAGAATGGGACTTGCTATGTCATTTGTGTCAGCAGTACCTGAAAAGGTAAAGCACATTTTGTGGAAATATGAATTTCTGTGTTGGTAAAGTAGACATAAGTGTTTGGACAGTTACAGTTGACTCTTGTTATAAAGAACAGATATTTAAAAAATGCTACTATAAAAGAGCACATTAATCCTAATTCCCTGAATTCTTGTGTTTTCTTCTTTTTTTAGCTCCCTTTTATAGCAAAGTCCTGGTTTCAACAAAGTAATTTGTCTGGTCCGTTTACTTTATTGTAAAAAGAGTTGACGTAAGTTTCTGACCTACCCAGACACCTCTCTCACTCAAATGAAGACGCCAGTCTTTGAACTGAGCACAATTAAATAATTTACTCTGTCAAGCAGGTGGGTTTTTTTACAATCAGAAATTCATTACATTGTTGTTTGCTTTAACAGTCACCCAGTGTCAACTTCAAAGCGATTTTGTACACACTAAACTCTTATCTACCGTAGGTGTGGTACCACTCATGTCCTAGTCGTGGGCGTGGCTGCTACAACACAGACCTAAAGGAGCATGGGGGGTGCTGCATATGGTACAATGAAAGGCAGGTCAGTCCAGAAACATCAAAGCTACAGGCAGAGCATATTTTGAAAATGTTTCGTCCCAGTCAGCAAGTTTTACACAAAGCAGCTCTCGTAAGGAACTCTGAATCTCCTCAGCTACGTTCAACATATCCAACTCCTTACGTAGCTACTTGGTGTTTCTTGCAATCTATCACAAGTACATTGTGCATCGAACTTGTTGCATGTTACGCACGCCGTGAACTTGAGTCAAAAACTTTAATCGGCTGACAGACGTCCAGGTCCATTTTTCAACAGCGGTCGCACTGTTTTTATTTTGTCTCTTGGTCCCCGCTAAAGCTAACCAGCTTTTTTTCTTTGATAATCTGTCTGTAGTATTTAGCAGACATTGAAGAACATCTGGGTGTTGTGATCGACCAAGCTGAACCCAACATGAAAGTAGCAGTCAATGAGTTTGATGGCAAAGTGGTCTACGGACAGAAGAAAATCAATACAGGTACACAGCCACTCTTAGATTCCTCAGATTTGATTTTATCTAATAAAAACCACTTTAGGATTCATGCATAAGAAAGTTTGACTTGGAAGCAAGGGTCATAAACACTCCTCGCATTCACGTGCACTGCTGCACCAAACTGATCGTGGGCTTGTTTATGACTGGGGACAAGGTGGGGCACTTGGCTCAATCACCCCTCCCCGAACCCCCTACTCCCGGAAAAAAATAATGAAAATTAAAATGGGGGATAAGAGGGAAAGGAGGATTCGAGAAGAAAATCATCAGAACGGTTGAAACTATTTCATCATCACTGATTATCAATCAATTTGCAGCCGAGTAATTTGGCCCCCCACATGAAATCCTTGCAACGCCCATGAAACTGACTCCGTCCATCAATGTGTCAAAGGTCAAGTAACGGGATAAAGAGAGCAAAGACGGCTCCACCCTTACCTCTTAGATTTACAAAATACATTATTGCATGATTTCGATGTTTATCTTCTTAATCGACAGGGAGTAACTACAAAGGTCATGTTGCCGTCTTGGCCCCATCCGTCAAGGAATTGGCACAGCTGGAAAAGCAGGCACAGACATCCTTCCTGGGGTTCTCTGGGGTACAGAACACGCTGTTTGCAGCTTGATGGGTGGGTCCAAAGACCCAGCAAGACAGAGGAAGTCTATACCGTTGCCAGTACAGCAAAATCATTACTAAACTGGATAACTACTTATCTTGCATGTGAAAACCCCATCACGATCAGTGATTTTTCAAGAAATCCCAAGTCGTGTCATCTTCATTGTCACACGCAGGCTATCCCATGTTTGGCCGTCTCTTGTTCTGGTCTTTGTACTTAAATTGCCACAATGACAAATTGGAAGAAGTAAGTGGGACTTTATCATGTCACAGTAGGGCTTACTTTATTATTCAATTTCTTTCACAGTATCTTTTAGTAAGGACACAGGATTGTGCATGGAACACTGAAGCAGGAAGTCCAAGATATTTGCAGTGCATGTATTTGCAGTGCATGTGCAATGTGATACACGTAGTACAGTACATGTACTCGTATTGCCAACACAAAGTACTTAAGTTGTATGTACGACAAGTCGTGTTTCATTTCAGCATTTGAGTCATTTGCAGTCAAAGTGTTCATTTTTGGCAACAAACCGACAGTTTGTAACCCAGGAGGAGGGCAACGTGAGTTTATATTACATCCTTGAATGCCCATTTAATTTATTTGGGTTCCATATGCACTCTTTAAGGCCAGTTCGTACCTCATGCTTTAGGTGAATATGTGTGAAAGTGAAGCAAATTTGATGTCCAGAAATATCTGCAGCAAAATTTTGCTCAAGTGTAAATGTGTTCACCATGCGCAAATTCCTAGTGCAAGCATTTGATCTGACTTCACAAATTCATGTTCGTGTTCACTTTTGTGTGCCCAGTATTGCATTAGTTGACAAAGTGTTACAAATTAGCATGCCTTCGAATCTTACAAGAGTACATGTGGATCAGAAGTGCATAGGTATGTCAACAGATCAAGGAAATGCACCTGTTACTTCTTACTGCCCTCATGGAAAAAGTGGGTGCATGTTTCTTAAGGCCAAAAACTATGCACATATATATACACAAAAGTTACAGTTCAGTTTTTGAATGAGCCACTATTTCAACAAGCCAAGGTCTTTCGGGAACAAAGCGAATGCGTCAGTGTATGGCTGTGCTGATTGGACAAACAATCACGCCCATGTGTTGCTGTTCCCGCATAGCCTCATACTGGGCATGTGCTGTTGGGATACTGAAATGGCTCATTCACCCTAGTATTTAAGAGGATAAGCTAGCCGTAAATTGTTTGGCATTTCAGTACACTAACAAATTTGATTTCAAGATAATCTTGGCAAAAGATTCGAAATTTTGAATGCAGCGTAGCCATAAAAAAGGATTTTCTCTGCCTATTAAAGAGTTCATTAATAAAAGCAAGTCAGTAAAAAAAATACTGTGTCCAATCTTTTTTCTCATGTTTTGTAACATCGCATTTGCGTAGGCAAATATTATGCACAAGTACCATTCTTAACAGCAAATTAGGTGGGTGTCTGGGCCCAAGCTTAGTTACATGGAACTGTACACACTAAATGGTGAGAATTTTCCCCTTGTTACAGTTGGGTTGTTATGGAGACCAAAATTACATGTATGAAATGTCAACAGTAACATTTGCAACAGAATGAATTTAGCCAAGAATTCCACTTGGGCTACTACATGTACATATCTCTTCCCAAAGAGCCACTACGCATGCCTTTTCCTAGGTGCTTCAACTGTGCCACACTCCACGTGGAAATTCACACGGTCACTAATGAATTCATCAGGTGTTCATGATCTCTCTTTCGACATTTCAGCCAGTTTCTTTCACTCACAGATCGCCTTTTTGCAGGCGTTTTAAGAGATATCCAAACAAGTTTGCGTTCGAATCGTTACACTTGAAGCACGTCTACTAAAAAAAAATCTTGGTCAAGGTCTTGGAAAGCCGAAAAACAGACTTGCATGCAATCAGTACTTCGAAACAAAATCAACTTTGGCAGATTGCCAATTGCTCACATTTCTCAAGAACTCAAAGACAATGACATTTCACAAACACAACAAACAAAAACAGCCAGAATCAAAGGTGTTAGTTGAATCTCTTTTAATTGAATCATGTCACTCTATTACTCATTCCAAAAAAAACCAAATGTTCAATAATCTAGGGTATGAATTACTCACTTGGGCTGGATTTTGTAAGGATAAAATACACTCCCATAGTTCCTCTTGCACAGCAAAATTATCCTATACCTCCAGACAATCCTTAATTAGTTACATAGGATTAAATAACCACACACACACAAGGTCCCCCCTCTGTTCAAATTTTAATGTGAAAAATACTCCTAAACTAATACATCACAGACATTAAAACTGGGAAAGTCGGCATGGGAAAGGGATATCAAACCACGGTAAAATTACCACTTAGTGATTGTTAGAACTTGAGCAAGCAAAGCAATTTTTGATTGAATCTCATTAAACCCTTTTACACACCAGATTGATACGATGGTTGTATCCAGAGTGCATCCGAGCACCTATACATGTACACTAACCGGACCTATCACATGTAAAATCCAGCCTTCGGAACATTCTTGATTTTCAAGTGCAAACATGATCAGCATGGCCAGGGAAAATTGCAAACACACATCGAATTGAGCTTGATAAAACCTGTTAGAAGATGGCATAAGAGCTCTGATTTGGACCATATTGTTTGGTAATATTTTATATACATGTACAAAGCAACCAATGCAGAGCAAGATATGTGCACCATGCATATGCTTAAACAGGAAATGCATAATAAACGGGATATCTTAACATGATCTTCCTTCAGACAGAAGTACTTTAAATTTAAGAGTAGGAAATACTGAAAACATAAGTCAGCTTACATGGACATGTACCTGTTTAAAGTTTCAAGACTTAACACCTTCGGACTTGAGGTATGCTGAGGAGGGCCTGTGCTGTCCAAAAGGCAAGGTATATGTATAATGAAACAAATTCAAAACATATTTCTGCACGGACTAAAGCCAACAAAGAGCATAATAAAATCAAGCAGGGCGTTGAGGTAGGCGCCTTTCAAGAAGCAGCTGGCATTTGAAAAGTGATCTGTGTTGGTCACCAGTAAATCGCATTCCCAATTCCGTCCAATAAAAATCCAATAAGAAAAAGGCAATTCCGATACAATACGTGCTGCCATTCACTTCATTAAGAATGTACTGAAGGAGATGTTTTTACACTGTACATCCACGTTTTACTACTGAGCAGTGTTTATACATGTACTGACACTGATTTTACTCCTGTACACAAACAACTGGTATGCTGTGTTTTCATGAATTACTAATAAGTTAAAGAGGGGGGGCATATTCAACAACTCTTTAAAAATCTTTTAACACTTCAGTCTATAGATACATGCTACTGGTGCTCTTTGCATTTTGGACACAGTTGAGAGCCCATTTTGAACATGTAGTGGTTACCCAAGTCACATCCGAAATGTGGCGGGTGTAACTTCTACAAATGCAGCTCAAATTTGTTAATAGTGTTTGTTAATCTGTGGCTTATTCAACATCCCTACATGTGAACCGGTCAAGTTAGAACAGGAGTGCTTTGACTTCGTCGTACAGGACAAGCACCAGGGCCCCACCGGTGCCACGCAAGACGTTGGAGAATGCCCCCTTGAAGAAGGCCCGCCCACCCTCATTCTGGGCAATCTTCCGCCAGCAGTCGATGGTGTTCTTGTACAGGATATCCTTGCGGCCTGACTGCATCATCATACGTCGACGGACTGTGTCGAAGGGGTAAGAGATGATGCCAGAGCAGGTGGTCACTGTCTGGGCGACCATCCAAGAGATGATGATGTTCCTCTGGAACCGGGACGGCAGCATGCCCTTGGCCGTGTCGTAGAAGCCAAAGTAGGCAGCTCTGTAGATGATGATGCCCTGCACGGAGACGCCAAAGCCGCGGTACAGCCCCAGCATACCATCAGACCGATAGATGGATGCCAGACAGTTGCCCAGGCCGGTGAATTCGCGATCGCCGAGGGCCTTGCCCACATCAGCAGCCAGACGGGTACGGGCAAAGTCCAACGGGTAGACAAAGCACAGAGATGTGGCACCAGCAGCACCACCAGACGCGAGGTTGCCAGCAAAGTATCTCCAGAACTGCGTTTTCTTGTCAACTCCATGGAGGAAGATTCTCTTGTACTTGTCCTTGAAGGCAAAGTTAAGTGCCTGCGTCGGGAAGTAACGGATCACGTTGGCCAGATTTCCGCGCCATAACGAAAAGAAGCCTTGCTCTTTTGTTACACGAGCAAAGCAGTTGACAATACCCGTGTACTGATCAGCAGCAGCAATTTGCTTGGATGCTGCTTGGACCTGCAACCAAAAATCAGAAGATAAAAATAAAATTAGAAAACGATGTTGTTTTTTGGGAGCTTTATATCTGTCAATGATCACACATCTAACATAAATGCACACCACAGCTTGAAAGAATCCTTAAAATACCCCTCCCGAATCCTCCAAATTCCTCTTTGCAAAATGGAGTGATTTGGAGGATTGAGGTTACTTGGAGGTTGAAGCATTAGAGGACTTTGCAGGATTGAGGTTACTAGGGGATTCTGCTAGGAATCAACCGATGATCGGTTCGGACATCGGATTGGGCTGATGTTCAGCAACATCAGCAAAACATCGGTTCGGCATAATTTGACCTTCCTTGCCGATATGAGTGCTGAGGTTAACTTGAAGAAAGGAACAAACTCTGTACTCAGCTTTGGCAAACAAAAATCTCATATTTTTCATTTGTACACGAATACAAGCAGTTTTTTTTTCATTTGGTGTGATAAATGGACAGTTACAGCATGCTTCAACCCAAAAGTATCCCCGAAAATCACACCTGCGTAATCTATGCTGCAACAACTCAATGAACAGACTGCGGCCCCAAGGAACAGTCAGTGTACATGTGTACCGTTTCCAATGACAGCCATTAAAACAACCGGGGAACTACACCATGTGTGGCACCATACATGAGGTGCCGTGTGACCGGTCCAAAGGTAGCCTGTGATTTAGCCTTTATTCAAGGCATGCGTGGCTACCTGAACACACAACATGCACCTCTACTGTTGGCACGCACGATGAAGACCCCAATGCAATGGTACAGCGGTGCCATGCGCGCCTTGACTAAAGGCTACAGTAATTCAGCCCGAGGTGCTGTGTCTATTCTGCATGTACCGTACACAGGAAGCACGATGTTGGTTTTGTGATCGGTTACATCAGTATCATGCATGCAGCAATCAATGTACACAATTTACATGATTTATTCTCTCAACAGTGACTGTGAAGGCAAAAACTAATCCTATTACCGGTAATGTGTAAACAGAGATTTTAAGGGAGTACACTGATTTTGTGTTGTTAGTAGGCCTACATCCTGTTAAGGTTACGTTTCAGTTATTGTAGGTGAAAACCTCGGGTCAGATTGGACATCGGCTGATGTTCCAATTAAACATTTCCAACGGACCACATGAGGATTTTGGAGGATTCAGGTTGTCACATGTACATTATAATGCTAGCCGTCAATGGATGGGGGGATTTTCCCCAGTGGTGCAGTCAATGTGTACTATTTACAGTGATAGCATGTGTAAGGTTTACACTTCAGAATATCAATTATTTTCTGAAGCTACGTCAATTTTTTTAAATGTCAAACTGAGGCATTCTTGCCTTTTTCATGGTTTGGTATAGCACTCGTCATAAACCACATTGGAGGACTTTGGAGGATTCAGGCAGTTGTGCCCAGTAGCTTTTATTAGAGGATTTTGTAGGATTCAGGTCATATGGGGCTTTTATCACTTCCGATTTGGAGGATTTTGCAGGATTCAGGTTATTTACTAGAAACATGGGGGAGAGAGTTAGAGTTAATCTCAACCATTTTTCTAAAGCAAATTTAATAAGATCAAAGTTTAAATAAGGGCAACTATCTCATTTTCTCTTTTTCATTTTGTTGAAATGATGGCTTTGTTTAGTAACTGCTTGGGAGGTATACTTAATACAACTTGTTACGTCTTGATTCCTTTTTTAAACATTTCTGGTCTTATTTTTCAATTTTTAGGGGGTGGTTGCCTTCCTTATTAAAATTCTTTTTTATTCTTAGACAAGTTACAACTGACATTACATTAGAAACTTTCAAGTAAATAGAAAAATGACATCACTCCATCTTCAAGCATGATGTCGACATGTCTCGCATTAATGTCAACTCACTGGCGTGTAGGGAAGGCAGTGTAGCCAAAATGGCAAATGAGGTGACAAAAAACATGCTTCCTAGTCAACTCGTAACTTGGGCGACTCGTACCTTGGACGACTCACACCTTGGGCAACTTGTACCTTGGACAATTTATACCGTGAGTTAAGACGTCTCGTACCTTCAGGTTCGCAATTCACTTAACTTTCTCACTTTTCCTTCTTCACATGTTTAAGGGTCAGATTTGACAAACATATCAAGAAAACGCCTTTATAAATCTCCCGCAGAGATACAGAGCCCCAGCATGATTTTTTTGCATATCATCCTTCCGTGGGCATAAGCGCGCCGGATGTCAAACAACCCGACAGTTTACCAACTTGACTTGGGACAACTTGATCGTTGAGACATGGCGCCATGTAGTCAGGAGTTTACGTCTTGATTGTAAAAATTTAAATTGTTTTATCTTCTTATTTTTTTTAATAGGTTTGGATCAACACATTGAGATTAACATTGCAACAGTTACAAGTTAATGATCCAACTTCTTGTGGAATAATTCTTTTTTGGGGGAGACGGTCTGTACTTACTGATAAACGTTTACTTGTTTAATGGGTCATCTTCTGTGAGCAAATTTGTAACCTTAATTTCAAAATCTTGATTTCTTTTCTTTGTTTAGGGAGGGGTGATTGCCTGAGGTTTTTTTGGGGGGGATTTAATGTTTCAACTTCTGATGAAGGAAATTTTCTTTATTTTTGGGGGTGTGATTGCCTAATTTTTTTTTTGGAGGGTGGTATTTAATGGTTCAACTTCTACTTTATTATCCCAAATGTAAATGCAGCATTACATCCATTCAACTTTCAGACATCAGTTTATAACAAGTACAAGTTACAGCTGACATTAATTTACGACCTCAGAAGTACACTGTAAATGAAAACATACCATCATTCCATCAAATGTATCATAGCAAAGACTAAGTTTATTATCCCAAACATAGTACGTTGCGGAAAAATTAAATTAATAAAAAGAAAGAAATATAAATTACAACTGACATTACGTTATACACTTCGAATTAAGTGCCGTTCAACACAACGCGGAAGACGTGAACTGCATGCAACAACGGCCACCTTGACAAGCACCACACATTGCTTAGGCCTGACGTACATGAATGATGTCGAAGCATATCGGCCTCCCAGCAGTAGCTGAAAGCCGCAAATTAGGCGAATGAGAAACCAAATTATTGTTTATGATGACTACAACAATAATCAGCTCTACGCAAGGTACTCGTGACCAAGGTACAAGTTGTCTTGTACTAGAAGGTATGAGTTGTCTATACTGGAGGTACAAGTTGGCCAAGGTACGACTCGGCAAAGGTACAAGTTGGTGCAATTATGTTGAGTTGATGGTACGAGTTGTGCAAGGTACAAATCGACCTGTTCCCAAACACATGACTAAGAAATTAAATTACTGTTCAAGTTAATAACAATTATAATAAGTTCTGATTTCTGTGAAGGTACGAGTTGTCTTTACTTTTGTACTTGAGTTATGAGTAGTCCACGGTGCGACTCGGCAAAGGTACGTTGAGGTGATGGTAAGTTGTCCAAGGTACAACTACAAGTTGTCCAAGGTACGAGTTGACAGGGTGACCTGCGCCACCTCATTTTGCCCCCTTGGCTATGTACATGTCAAGTCTGGTTTTCACAGTAGGCCAGGCTAAGTGGCAAAACAACAACTAATGAATAAGCTTTTAAGGTCACGCCCGTTTGGCCAAACTTGAACTTGTCTTCGCCTGCTGAACAGCTAAAGCTTGGGATAGGCCCTAATTAGCAAAACCAGGGCAATCACTACGTCGTGCACGAAGGAGAAAGTTATGTTTACAAAAGATCAAGAGCGTATGAAGGGGACGTGAACCTTTGAACACTGCTAACGTGGATTAACAATCGATATCAAGCCACGCCACCGGCGGCACCCGAACAAAAGTGGTTACGCAACGTCATCTGGTCAGAGAAGTTGATTCAACGACTTTTTAAGTTTCTGCGCCAAGGAGGAAATCCCCACATTTGACACAAAATCTTGCTGACAATTAATAAGGGTCCCGCAGCCAAACCAAGAGAAGATGAGCACAAAACGTTCATCGATCAAATTAAGGTGGGATAGGTCAAGAATATTTTATGCATGAATGTAACGAATTTGATGATAAAAACTGATCGAGTAGGCCTACTTCTTTTCTGCTTATACGACACACGCTGTTCATGTACGTCATACTACGTGTGGCCCATGTGGCGGTACCACGTACTTGATCACATGGTCATTCACATGCCGGTCTGAACCTGAAGTTTGGGCCTCTAAAGCCAGACAATTACACAACTGTTTCGCGAAATCTTACCTGCAACAGCAATTTTACCCTCTCGATTGGTGCTACAGCGGTCTTGGAGATCGCGGCGGAGATTCCACCGGCCGCAAGATCTTTCAAAAAAGAGGTGACGGCTTCTTTGGAGATCGACATGTTGGCTACCGTGCGTGTAGAGACAGAGTTTCGCCGGTAAAAAAAATGGCAGAAGCTTCTCATGACGTCACACACTGCCTTTTTACACAAAGGTGCGGATGCATAACATCCACAATATATAGTTTCGATGGGTCCATAAAGATACGTTTTTGTGTATTAAAATCTTTATTTCGTAATTATATTACACCAATTTGTATAGTGAATAAAGATTTCTGATATTTTAATTCAATAACGACTGTATTTTGGCAAAGATTAAGTTATGAAATTGGCTCATGAATAACTTTAACTCGGTGAAAGGGCAATTAGAAATCACGTGACTGTGACGTTTGGGAACCCGTGAGGAATTTCCCTCCACAAAGCCGCTCTATTGTTGAAGAGGGGTGGCTGTTTTCAATCAATGTTTATTAAATACAGCAATGAATTATTTTTAATGCTATATCGCCTCAAAACAATCAAAATTTTATACAATAACACTTAATCAACCAATATTGTGCAAAATCAGCAATGATATAATCACTCTCGATTTGCACAATTGGGCCAATATAAATTAAATACGCCCATACCTTTTCTTAATTGAACAAGCCGACAATCAATTAGTCGACAAGTCGTGAAACTGTGCCAGTGAGGTGACCTGTCCTGAGGGCAAAGGCCGACGGTACGGAACGAGGATTCTCATTCATGCCAACGGAAATTACTCATTGCGTCATGTGTGTGTGCCAGGCTTTGAGCGAACGCCTTTGTGCCGAGTCTATTCCTTCCTCCATGCTGTAACGAAAGTGAGGACTTAGTGTACAGTTTCCGAGTGGCAACTCCATCTAGAACAATGTGCCCCACCTAAAGCTTTTATTATTTTTTTTTATAAAAACTGATAGAAAGAAAAAAACCCAGACTGAGGTAAACTGCGCTCATCTTCAAAAATTACCTTAGCTTTACTTAACTGGATCTTTATCCTCAATTCTAATACAGTCCATGAAAACGTATTATCCCCTCTCTATCAAAAACGCGTTTCCGGGTTGAGAGTCGGGGTGGGGAATGGGATTAAGTTTTAAATAAAAAAAGGTCTAGTTTTCTTCTGTTCATCCATGTAAAAGAACCCCCCCCCCAAAAAAAAGGTGGTAGTAGCGTTTCAAACGTTTGGCACTTTCAATTCCTAAAAAAAATTTTTGTTTTTTTCCCCTGCTTCCAACCCCCCCCCCCGCCCGTTTTTCCCCTTTGCCAATTTTCAATCTAACGCACGGGGGCGCCCCTTCCCGACGCCTGTGGTTTGGAAGTTTAATTCTTCGCTATTATAGCCCCAATTAATATTAACAATGGCCTACTGTGTAACTCCTTGCTTGTTACAATATGTGACAACTGTGGAGAAGTATTGGCTGGTGGGTTGCCAATGATGATATCGGGCGTCAACCTATTCACTTAACTCCACAAATAACCGACTGTAGGCTGCGTGTGGGCTTGGGCTACGAATCTTAGCTATTTTCAAAGGCTTCTGTTCTGAATGCTGTCCAGAGCGTCAACAGCACTCACCAGTAACAAGCAGGGGATTAAGTTCAACGTATCACTCCAAACAAGTGGGTGATTTTCATTCCTCTCCCCCCCCCATTTATTATTGTTCATTTTTCTAGGAAGAAAGTTGGGCGCCCCCCCCGCAACACCCCCACTAACTGCCGGCAAATGACCACCATCAAATCGATTGCAACTGTCTATGACGTACCTGCAAATTTACCAGCTTTACAAACTTGCCAGCAGTGGCGGGGGGGGGGGCAGGAGACAACCCCCCCGACGGATTTTTCTTTTTATAAAGAGTAGCCTACTTCATATAAGAAAGTAACCTGTAAAGTTATTCATCAAAATATTAGCAACAAAACCCTAAGAAACAACACCATGAAATAAAAGCAAGGGTGAAGGACCACGAGTTAGGCTTTTCATATTTCCCTCCAACATCATGTCGAATGAGCCCTAAGTCACATTCGCATTCAAATCCCCCCTCCCCGAAACTAAAAGCTGGATTCGCCACTGCTCGCCAGAAATTATGATAATACCGTGCTCAAATACCTCCTCGTGACTAGCAACTTTTCTTCATGGACAACAATCTTTATAAATCATCTATCCTTAATCCTCCTGCATATTCTGTGAAGCAAATCTGATCTCGCAGAAAAGGATGACGTTTTTGCCACACATAGTCCAGCCTATTCTCAAGATAATCCGCTCCGAGCAAGAACAAAAGAGGGCGTATTTTGAAATGAAATTGACACTCGTTTGGTACGCACTCACCGAATAGGCGCGCAAGTTTATGCACGTTTGACGCGGAGCACGCCGAGTACGTGCAACGAATTTAGTGTGCAATATAATGGTGCTCGCATGCACGCCAAACGCGTGCAAGAACCCAGTTGGAAAGCATAATACCATCTGTCTTTTTTTCGCCGGTGAGGGTGCACTTCATCTCAGGGTAGATACCAATTTAAACCATTAAAGTTGATGTAAGCCGACTTCACGCATATGACTACATAATACACACAACAGAGCTTATACAAAAAATTGACAAGTCAAACCTTGTCACTTTCCCCTATTCTGTCTTGTTTAATTTACCAAGTGATGAATCCTAAAGGGCCATGCTCATCCTGACGAGAATTTCCATCTTGATCGGGCTCAAGTTTCAAAGTATTTAATTACTCTTTTTACCTTTGTAAAAGGGCTTACAAAATGATAGTCGCGGTTATAACTGAAGCTTAGATGTAAAGAAATCAGTTTTGAACAATTGAAATGGGTTAATTAAACAAGCAAAGCCTACAAAAAAAATCCAAATTTGGATGCAAAATAAATCACGGGGGCAACTATCCCAGAAATTCACATTGAAGAATTGAAGTATCTTTCTGGATTTGTGTGCCCAAGTGTATTTTCACACATAAACAAAGCCAAAAAGAAATACACTGTATATGTACATGTTTGCTACTTAACTCCTAATGTGACAACCAAGATGAGAAAAAACGCACTACACTTGCAAATTACAATAAATCTGCCGTGGGAGTTGCTTGACAGGTTAATTCTTGGACAAATGCTGTATGATTACAGACTTTCGCATCACATGTAGTATTAAATTACAATACAACAGAGTGTAGACTTCAGAGCCAAATGGGGGATGCTGAACAAATAAAACCGAGATGGTGGAAATGGAGTAAGCATGTTGAAAATTTAATACTGCAGTGGGAAATGGTGGATGCAGGACCAAATTTTCAAGGGAGGGTCGCATTTTTTTGAAGGAGATCAGGCCCCTAAAAATGGGAATATCTTTATGAAACCTTTAATGGCCTTTCTGAGGGCTTAGGCTACATTTTGGGGCTTTTTTTTTCACGTTGCTTGTGAAAGCAACGAAATAAAGTCCCCTAAACTGCCTTTTCCTCATATTTCCTTTTCTTTGGGCGTGGACCATGAAAGGGTTGACCATGGCTACTGTAGAGGGGCCTTGGATCAATAGCAATGGGCAAACAAAACCCTTGCTATGCACATGGATCAAACCCTTAACAGTTATGCCCAGTTTGTTCGTGAACCCAATAAAAATACACAGGCTTGGGTGAAAGTGCCAGCCAACCAAACACATTATCCTTCTTAATAAAAGTTATACTAATTTCTCTAAACAAATCCACAAATCTTGCGGAAAAATTGACTTATTCAGTCCATCTTGTGATGCCATTACGCACTTTGAAATGGGTCCACTTTGTCACTGCAGGTGACAGACATAAAATGAATTTGAATGAATATCACTTCTACAACTGTTTCAGTGATCATCCCTATCTTTCTTTCTGTCCCCTTTCATGTGAAGTTTATCTTATTGGGGTGAGAGGGGGGGAGGAGGAACATTGCCATTATCTTTGACATCTTCTGCAGTTCTGTCTATCAGTAAGTCATGTCTTTTCACCTGGGGTAATGCTGGGGGTATCACTCAATTCCCCACCATATTCAGCTGGGTCATTCTCCATCTCTCCCACTGTTGCTGCCTGTTTGGTTTGATCTTCCCCACCCTCTGTCTCATCCTCCGAATCACTGCTCCCGACAATGGCTGGCTCCGACTCCCCAAGACACGGCCATGGTTTGTCACCATTCTTGTCAGGCAATACACCACCCTCTGTGCCGTCACTGGGGACGGTGGCACCTTCAGGAGGAATGTCGATGTCACACATGCGCAGGATGTGCTGACGCTCTCCCTTTGGAATGTAGGATCGCACAGAGGTCTTGCCACGCCATCCAACGAGTACAAAGGACATGTCGTTGGACTCAGGGTCTCTGAAAAAAATGAACCCAAAATCAAGGATAAATACAATACTCCTGAAGAGGTGACCTTATCTCACGTCATAAATATATATTTAACCAGATCTGGTGAACAAATTTCCAGATTTGCCATGCAAAGATGCTTCCATATGCATTAAAAACAAGAAAATCTTAATATGTAAAACAACGATGAAAAATCCTGCTGGCATTCAACTTTCTGTTATGCACATTTTGTTTGAGGGCATGCAACCCCCAAGTTAGCTCGGGTGACTGTGGACCAATTTCATACAGGTGGATCTCTTAAGTCACATTTGCATTGGTCTGAATATCATAACAAATGGTACCTGTACTGTGAATGATTGTTCACATTCCTATATTCTTCTGTGCATCCACACTCAGATAACTCAGATGCCACAGAAATCAAATCTTTCAGTTGTAGCAGTTGACCTAAATTTGACACTGGACGTAGTTTTGGAAAACACATGGAACTAAGGGCGGAGCCTGAACTAAATTTGCAGGAGGGTCAAACCTTTTTTTTGGGGGGGGGCAAAATTTTGTCATTTGTTCAGGTAAGTTTTTATGGCCCTTCTGAGGGGTCAGGCAATATTTCGGGGCTTTTTATACATTTTTAAGGGAAACGAAATAGACACGCAGTACATACAGCAAAATGTGTGAAATGCAACAGGTGTATACTGGCCCTATGATCCAGGCAGAAATCATGTGATCAAAACATAAAATTGACATTGCAGCTTCTGTCCATTCAGGAATTTTCAGCATCGAAAAATGGACAGACAAAATCTTCCGCAATCCAGTTGGCCCTGTGAAATTTACTTCTGCAAATGGTAAAACAACCATCAATCCACAATTGGAATGTTTACCAGCTGTCCATACTGGACTTTCGTTGACTTGACAGAAGTTTGGATTTGTTTTACTGAAGAAAGAGAAATGCAAACATGGCTATACGGTACATGTCAATGAAATCAAAGATAAAACACTGAGAAATAGAACATAGGCAAAAAAAGAGATGAACTGAAAAGCCCAAACTGTTTTCTACATCGGTTGTTTTTTTCAAATTTTCCAGGTAGACCTAATTCCCTATTACCACAAGCAGAAACAAATAACTTGAAAATCCTCCACCCCCCAAAAAATGTATAACTGAACATTAATAAAGTACAATAGAAGACAACAATATCATTCCGTATTGTTTTGCAAGTACAAATAAATTCATGATCGAGAGGGAATTTTTTTCATGTTAAACCCTCCATAAAATTCATAAAATGAAGCTGACTAAGAGACACCGTGAGGATTACATGTGATTTTACTGCTCCTGATGCAACTACACAAACGCAAGATTCACCGCAAAGAAATCCAACTGTATTTACTGTTTGTGAACTTTGGATCACTCCTTATCTAATAGCAAACGCAATCAGCAATCCAGGCCAACAGAGGGTCAACAATTATCAATGATATTAACACTACTACATTAACTGACTTTTTCGTGTTTTTACCACAGGTCTCCCCAACGGTAGCTGTAGATGACTTTTAAACAGACTCCGGACTTGGAACAAACATTGTGTGACATTACTTTGGTAGAAAATTCTCCCGGGGGGGGGGGGGAACAGTAAAGTAAAATAAAATTATTTTTATTAGGTTTAACACAGTACAAATATCTCACACAGGAAGCTCAGAATTCTGACAATAGAAAACTATGCAAATGTGGCCATTGGATTTAAAAATTAATTTCTCAAAACTTGAAATGCAGACCCATCTGTTCAGTTTGTAAAATTACCACACCCTTTGATTCCTCTACAAACCCAAAGGATATCTCAATCAATCTTCAAACTTCTGTATCTTCAAGATTACTGTGTAGGGTTCCTTTTGTGAGGACCATACATGTATGGACAAATTATACCCAGCAAGAAATGAGACCGAGGGATACCCCCCAACATGTCCAATGCCTATACACATTCCAGACTATTGTTACTTCACACATCCCCCAAGATGTCTGAAAGGAATTCCCCAGATTCCTGCGAGACAATGACCAACACAAAGCAGGGGGGTTCTCTCCGTCTCATACCTTGCTGCATATGGGACGAATGAAAGCATGCTCCTGCATATGTTGACACCTGTGTCTTCAGACCCACTATTCGGCAACACGTGTGATGGGGTCCATACAATGACAGAGTAAGAAAGTCCCATCTCTAGCCAACCAAACTCTGAGCATAAAAATTGATGGCACTGAGAGGGATAAACAGTCATGGTCCTAGTAACTCAGAATTCATGCAGATGAATGGGAGACCAAGATATCCATTAATTTTGTTTGTTACTCACCTCTCTTTTGGGTCGTAGACAAAGATCAAACTGCCCTGACCTGACAATGAGAGGTCCAAGAAATGCAGTGAATAGCTTTTTAAGTGCTAAATGAAACAGTATGGTAAATTAGTCTCCAGTTATTTTGCATCCGCACAGATTAAACACGTAGATTCAGTTATTTTGCATCCGCATAGATTAAACACATAGATTCAGTTATTTTACATCCGCATAGATTAAACGCATAGATTAAACACGTAGATTCAGTTATTTTGCATCGGTATATATTAAACACACAGATTTAGTTATTTTGCATCGGTATATATTAAACACACAGATTTAGTTATTTTGCATCTGTATAGATTAAACACACAGATTTAGCTGCGTTTGAGGCAAACTCCTTTTTCAAAGGACTCCTTGAAAAACCTTGAGATCAGATTTTGGGTTTCAACATAATTATTAAAACACTGTTTAGACTGGGGTTTTTAGGAATATGTTTCAATGGGGGGAGGGAATCTGACCCCTTCCCTAAGATCTCTTAAATGGAATACCCATTGGTAGAATAACTTATTGACAACATGTCTATATAGATACCTCAGCTGATTACCTTAACTGTGTGTATGTTAGTTAGTGGAGTACACATATTCTATTCAGGATTTTAATTTTTTTACAAAAATGTCAAGCAAAAAGAACCCAATTGACTTGAAAAGGAAACACAAACATGGATTACGTAAATAAGTCGTGTACAGTGTGTACTTTGATTTCATTGTTTTATTTGCATATCTTATGCTGTGTGCATTGTGTATTTCATTATTTGTCACTCACTTTGTAATTTATTGCTTGGATTTTTTGGATTTTTCATTTATGATATTGTTTTGATAACAGAGTTGGAGATGTCATTGTAACAAGCAGCCAAACACAAATTGACAGAAAAAGAACGTATTTCAACAGGTTTGCGTAACACTTCCACTTATACACACGCATATGGAAAAACACTGTTTTCAGATGACCATTGACCCTTAATTGCCAAGTAACACGAAAACGCCTTGTCCAAGTTTTGCAAATTTGAGATCAAAAGTTGCACAAGACTTCACCAAAAAAATCATGAAAGGACAGTTGATATTTGCAGCACTTTTGAAGTAAACTTTACAGCAAAATTTACATGGGGGTTCGGTGTGGGAGAGGGGGAGGATGTCATTTGACATCCCCTCCGTCTGTATAGGCTTAAAATTGATCTTGCAATCTTCGTTTTTATGATACTTTCTCTCTCTCTTTTACTAGACACACTTTTAAATACTGGCATTATTTCCAGCTCAATGTGATACCTTAAACATTTTTCATCAGGGACTTTTTATTCTAGAGCAGATAAAATATGAGCAATGCTCTTAATGCCAGGTTTTTTTTTAAGTGAGAAAAATGCAACGGCAGTCTTCATGTGCATAAAGGTGACAAAGTTTACGTGACTTGAATTCTCTCATCTACAGTGGAGAAATGAATTCAACCCAATTTTAAGATCAAGTTACTTATTTCATTACTGCACGAATTGCTTCAGATTATGAAACATTTTTGGATAAAATAAATGGAAATGGACAGAGCTAGGCCTCAAAAGCACCATCTTTACTTTTGTATGGTGTCAGTGGTCCAATAGCATCACATGATCTCTTCTCCATGTGGTCAAAAGATGGCCCTGATATTCTGCAGACTGGCCACTCCGTCAATTTCATTGGTCAGGCTAGGTTATGCGGAATTACTGGTAACATCTTACCTGCATTGGTAGCAGCCTCCCTGGCTTGCTGATCCAGGCGGGAACAGAACGGGTTCTCCTGGGTGAGAAGCGTACGGATGTCGTCCTTGGTGATGTTGGTGATCTTGCGCACCGGGGACAGGTAAGGGAATATGCTGTAGATGCCCTTGGAAAAATGCAACAAATACATGTACATTGCAATGGTCACAAAATTTCTCCTACACCAAAGCCACCAGAGGGTACACACAAAGGGGGTTTCCCTATGGAGTAAAGAACTGCCCTGCAAGATGGCTACCGCGCAAAGCCTATATAGACAAATCCGACAGCTAAAATTAGAAGCCATTACTATGGGGCCATCCTATTTCCATGCCAGTTGGTGTGCATACATGAAATTCCTCCTTGACCAATAGGCAGTAGTCAATTGCCGAAGTGCGCACGCACACTCAGGTTGACCAATAGGCAGTAGTCAATTGCCGAAGTGCGCACGCACACTCAGGTTCAGACAGCTGCGTGAGTGTAAATGGTCCCTCAGAATGGCATCTCATTAGATAAGTCTATACACAAAGTATACAGGATTATAGTACTGCAAACACAGCCAGTATAGATAAGAAATTTACACCCCAATTTTTAATGTACTCTTATTAATCAATTATGCGGAATTAATCATCACTTCAACTCATCTAATAAATTTGTCTTATTTCTTACTTCCTGAGCTAATCTGAAGTCACACGGGACATCTTTGGCATCACTGCGACTCCACACTTTCACTCCCGAGTTGATGATCTAAAACAAAACAAAACGAAAGATGAGAAAAGTTCTTTGCTCCGGTAAAAGATCAGCAAATGTCTGATGCACATCTACACCACACACATACCAGTACCAAATATGACTACACACTGCACAGAGTACTTTTACTTTCTGTCAACGTTGTTCAACATTGGAAACGTCAGGGTTTGAAATTTGGGGGGAGGAGCACTCTTATTTGCAACACGTCATCCTGTTTTTTGGCTTCTCCCGGGTCATTTGGACACTCATCTTGTGATGAAATTGTATCCAAAACTATATAAATGACTTTGATGGTGGCTAATGTTGAAAGGATCTTGCAATGTTGTTTGCTTGCATGGTAACGTTACAAAAGTATGTGTTGCAGAGGTATGCATAAAAAAGTATGGGGAAAAAGTACTTCTCTTTTGAAAAAGACTGCAAATGTGTTGGTTTCAGCACATAAATATGAGATCTGAAAAAGTATTTTGAGTGATTATTTAAGGAAGAAAAACACTGTTTCTTCTCTGGGGGCAAAACACGGTGAATGGCCTAATTCTCTCTGACACTGATGAATGCTTTGGTGTTTTGGGCCATTTAGCGTAACAATTTATCTCAAATGGATCCAACTGTCAGATGACTGGAATATCCAAGGGTCTCTTAGGGTTAGAAAAACCCAACTAAACCTACTTGAAAGAGAACTGCTCGAGAAGAAAATAGACGGCACCTTTATGTTGCCTTCATTGTTCTCAAGGATGGACTTGATGCCCTCATTGACGAGGTAGAGATTACGTTTCTTGCCACCGTGACAGCGTGTCAGTAGCTGGGTAATTGGGAACTTGTCATCAATGGCGTAGAAATCCCTGAACAGACACAGAAAGGTTTCAGACACAAAAATGCAACAACAGGGACCAGAAACATGAGTTGTTCATTTGATTTCTTCCCTGATGGTTATACATTTTCATCATTACTTGAAAAAATTTATAAAACTTATTCTACATGTGAATTGACATGCAGGAAGGAGTGAAATCAACTAGTGGTTTTTATTTGTACAAATTAATTTCCACTTCAATGGAAAAAAACGAAGAGTAAATAAGAAAATGATTAGGAACTAAAACTTGTTCTATGATTTTTGAATTCATTTACAGCTGGCTTACTGATTCAACAAAGCACAAGTTTTCACTTGTTCAAATTTATAACTTATCAGGGAAATAATGCTGAGGCAACAGTTCTTATTTAATATATTTTATCCTTATGAAACACATTTCTTGATAAGCTTTTGCTCATCTGCATAAAACCAGAGATAAAACTGCTGTTAAATGAGAGCAGAAACCTGACTGATGGTGTCAAAAGAATTAAAAATGATTTTTTAATTCATTGACCTTATAGGCTTAGAAAATCAATCGGCAGCAAATACGCTTAAAAAGTACAAATGTAGTGATGGCTCTGGTGCTTCACAGAAAACGTATTTGGTACGGGAAGGCTAACTACACAACCATGAAAAAAAGGTTCATTGAAAAGTGGAAGTCCAATGTGATACTATCAACTGTCACAATGAAAACAGGATTCGAAACTGAGTGCCAAACCAAACCAGATTATCATATCACGATCCAGACGACGCTAACTCTCTTAGCATTTGGCTGGGATGCAACCTGCTTCCTAAAAATCCTCCGACTGGCTCCATGTAAAACTTGGATACAACCTAAATCGTCCAAAATCTTTTATTATTTCTGGGATGCATTCCTTTGAGGTGTACACACTGCCTCAACCCTTCAAAATCCTTCAAAATCCTCAATCCTTCCAAGCCTCCTGCCACTGCATGTAAGTTGAGGCAGTGCAAATGGCATCTTTGAGTAATGGATGGGATTTCACATCTAATCCAAGTCTGAATTTATGTACAAGCATGTCACACATAGTGTGGACCTCTGCACAAAAAGAAGTCCACATAATGCAGGGTACGATGGCGTTGTGTGGACTTGCACACTCCCACAAAATGCTTTCCCCTCTCTGAAAAACAGTTTAAGAGGCATTTTGGGGTCAAGGTTATCTGTGGCAAAATGAAGAGGAACTGTCCAAGAAATCATCATCAAAAATCCAGCTGGAAGGAGAGAAAAAGAAGCATTTACCTTAACCACAGGAGAACAAAGCAATGTCCACACTTCGTACCTAAAACAAGGGTTGGTGCATTGCTGAGCAAGAACACTACAAGGTCCAGCCCAAGACCCAGACACAGTGCATCCTTCAAAAGCAGCCAAGCATTTTGTTTTTGGCTTTACAGCCTTAATCCTCTAAAACCACTCAGAGGATTTTTGGAAGATTTGGGAAGGTCCGGGTTGATTAGTCCTTTTTCCCACCTACTTGATCTGTGGCCAGATTTGCTCGTCCTTCTTGAAGAAAACAAAGGGATCTTCTTTATATCCTTGGAACAGCTTCTTCTTCTTTGCAGGTGGCGGGCCTCTGCAAAAAAAACACACACGAGAGAGGTAAAAATGTTATGAATTCATAGAAGAGGAGTGTCTCAAACTTGGGCACACGGAGAGAGTTTGAGCAGAAGTACGCTTTCTGAAACCAAGAACTTCTAATAGGGGCGCCAACCTCGAAATGCAAGGTCTTCCCAGGAAACTGCTTGTTACTGCATTGGCCTACATGCACAGGAACATTTTTTTCCCACTTTCAAATATAAAGCAAAAATGTCCACCAGAGCTTAGTTTAGGGTTTAAATAGATGCCTGTCTTTTCTCAGGAAAGATTAAAAGCTGCCAGTTGACTCCCACTAAATTGTTTGAAATTGACAGTCCTGGGTGCTATCCGAGGCCGTTCTTCCAGTGAATTGAAATGTGAAGATTTGTTGACCAGTGTTAAAGATTTGGGCAAGTTCGAGCGACAACTAGAGTTAACTACGGTTCAACTAACACTGCCCAAACGATGAATAGTTTGTACTATCTAGTTAACCATTTGGGATCTGGCCCAAGGGTACGGTCACACCACTAGTTATTTATAACCGATTTCATTTACCATTGCGGAGGGAACTATTCACATGAAAACAACTGTACGAGATTTCAATGCTGCGAGATTGGCAGCCAAGGAAGGTGAAATGTGAATAACAATGAGATTTGAAAAAGTAAGCTAACTAGGGTTGTTTGCATGCAACTGAATTGCCCATGCGCACTGTTAAACAGCAACTGACTACTGGTAGAACTATTGTTAGCACCCGAACTTGACCACGAATTGAAGCGTTGTGATACCAGTTGCGTAAGAACACTACATAAATACCTGCATTATTATTATTATAATGAGGTTACAAGTGGGGGATTTGTAGATTTTGCACAAGCAAACACTGCCTGTAACAAAGTCCTTTTGCATGACCTTACGACATTTGGACAGGTGGTCAGATAAAAACAACATTCACTCCAGGTCACCCTTGACCGCGCCATGCAAGAGGACATGACAAACGCGACCTGGCCATCCGTGTTCATAATTGTGCCGAGACACAGTTGACAGGTCAAACCACTGCGCATGCTGCAAGCAACCTTCCGCTGACCTTTTTTCTGAAACCCCCCCTTGTTTTGAACACACAAAGTCTGCAAAGTCTGTGGAGGCATATCATGCATCAAACTTGAACTTGGCCGCTGTGCACAGCAGAGGTACCAAACAGTTCCCCATGGGCATGCCCCAGAGAGTTGGAAAACATGAGCTTGCAGTGGAAATTTCACACAAATACAGGTCAAATAGCTCTAACGAATCACTGTTTGTGACTTCTGGCTGTACTCCAGAAGTTGGGCACAATAGAGGTTTTTCATGTGATGTAACATGACAAGCAAAGGCATTTCGGGACAGTGCGAGGTCCATTTTCAAGTGCTTTAAACTAAAGGCAGGTTTGAAAATCCTCACACTCTAGTGCCAGAGCTTGGGTCATTCTCAACTGATTCCTCCTCAGCTAATGTCTCATCTTCCGCTGGTTCAGCGAGCTCCTCGGGAAGGTCTGTATTTGTGGGTTCCTCGTCCAAAGGTTCCTCGTCCACTGTCTCTGCTTTAATGGTGCCCTCCTCCACGGGTTCTGCCTTGTTCCCCCTAGAAGGTTCCCCTTCACTCGCAGTTGAGGAGTCCAGATTAGCCTCTGCTGCTATGTTAGCTGTACGCAAGTGAGTCAAATGCATTTTAGTTTGCGGGGAAGGAGGAAGACCAAGACAGGTCAGTTTTCATCAAACAGTTTGACGCTCAGTGTGGAAGCTTTACCTTTCATTTCAAGGTTGGAAAACACAAATACATGCAGTTTATACTGTAAAAGAAAAACCTCCATAACTCTCTATAAAACTGTTGTTTTATTACCTTTATCATTGCCACATCAATGATATGTGAAGTGCTGGTAAATCTGACGGCTATTAAGTAACTGTAACTTTTGACAGGTAACTTTGATGTCACATGACCCCATAGTCAAATTTAATTGGCTCTGACACACAAAATAGAGACACTGATCAATGTACTCAGCTCTAGACACTTTAGGGGCCAACATCCACTCACCTTGGGCGTTTCTCTTTGCGGTGGCATTTTGCTTCATCCAAGGAAGAGGGGCAACTTTCCTCAGGACAGCCACGAAAAAACCTCCAGTGTTTTGGTGATGGGGAACGACTCGAATGCTGAAAGGAAGGCACACAGATCAATTGCCGTCCACACTGCAAGAGGCAAATAATGTCCTTCAAACCCAGCTTACCCAGGTCCCTCAAACTCCAACTGCACGTTTTGTCAAGTTTTGACTGATTCAGTATCATATCTTATGAAAATGTTGCTCAACTTTGTTGGTTTGTGGCACAAAGGCTAGGCTGGTGGTCTTGGATTTTGTTTGAGCGGTTCCTCCGTGGAGTGACTGGCTTGTAGTACCATGTCTTGGACGGTGCTTGATTTTCTCAAGTTCAAAACTGCTACTCTGCAATTCAATCGTACATTGCGGAGACTTGTCTGTACGAAATGACTCAAACTTCAAAACTACTGGCCTGTGGGAGTTTAAACAGATTCTGTCTACTCACATGTCAGTAATTACAGTAACTTCCCCTTGGAGACACAAAAGTACTGCTTCTAGTACAAAAAGCCTAGGAGGTTAGAGTTTAAAATTTAACCTGCCCATATCCTTCACAGTCTGTGAAGATGTTTGCAGGAATATTGGGGAATTGAAGGAGGTAGATCTAAGCGACAATTACACACAAAGCTTGCATGCCAATAAAAACATGCGTAGCTACATTCACGGCAACACTTCTATGGTGAAACCACTGGATGCAACAACCCCAAGAGCAACTTTCCACTGCCCCTTTGAAAATGCATGTGACTCAATCAACAGGCTCACTGTCCCCTGGAAAAGAGCATCAGTGCTACATATCACACAGCTCTGTGGCTTATAATGACATCTTGCACCTTAAAGCATACTCATGACTGTTGCTAGGCTTAAGGGTACAGAAAAGTACACCATTAGACAAAACTGAGCTCTACCATCTGGTCAGACGTAGCCTCTCTGCTTCAACTTCTGTTGGGGGCCAGACGGTTGCTTTATACTTTTGCCTCTTGTCCTCTGGAATTTCATCTGGGTTTGCGAACACTTCCCCCGTTTCGCTGATGATCTGAAAAACACAACTGGGCATTCTAAGATTTTTTTTCCGATGCTTTAAATTGCTACAATCATTAATCACAACAGAGACTGTAACATGGACAAACACAAAAGCTTATCAAATGCTGTAAAAAAGAAAGAAGCTGTGTGGTTTGACTCCAATGCCGATACCATCCCATAGTCACCAGATGAGGGTTAACAGAAATAGGAGCAAGCTAAGACAGTGGTGGCTTTAGCAGAGTAAAAAAACGGCAGCCCATGGCCTAGAAACTACATGTGCAAGCGCACACTACGTGTACGCATGGTACGGATATCTTGCTCACTGTCAACATGTCGGCAACTATCAGTTTTCATTTACTGGCCTTTAAACTTTATTCTGCCATGCATGAATGAGTTGACAAAGGATAAATCCCTGAACAGAAATGCTTCATTTCCATGCGTTTCAAAACAAGATGAGCATCACATCACTGACAGCAGGATCAGATGGCTAGGCGTTGGCTCACACAAGGGCCACTATGTGTAAAAGTTATGGATAGCAAAGCAAGTGTATGCCTAAGGGAATAAATAAATGCTCGGCCAGTCATAAACCATGATCAAGAAAACTGGACGCAGATAATGCCCAACCTGAAGGCTTGTCTTAACAACCGTTTATGACCGGTCACATGATAGGCTCTCGACCAAGAGGAATGGCTGACCTGTTCTAGGTATAAATATGAATATTCATTGACATGAATATTCATTCACGTGCTTAGCAAGTTGGACATATTGAGAAACTGTTTCTTTTTACCTTCCATGATGTCAATCCGGGTGATCGCTGTAAGCCAGGCAATTCATCAGATACATCGACCAGCTCCAGGGCACCTATACCAAAACAATTGAGGTAACTTCTTAATGTTTGTTTTTCTCGAGGCAGACCTTTCCATGCCCCAATTCCATGTCCACTTCCTACTCCTTGTTTCAACTTCCTGACAAATCTCCTTTGCAAGCTTTCATTTCTGTATTCCCTGTGAGTTTTCATCATACTGGCTCAATTGTTTTTAAATTCTTTTCTAAATGGGGTTTCCAGAAGTCATTTTGTTCAAGAATATTACTCTCCCTAACTGGTTTAAAGTAATTTTTTTCACACTGGTTGTGAGTTGGATGGTTTCACAAAACAATTCAGGCCTGCTTCATCTAATCCCAACAAGAAACCTGATCAAGGTAGTTTGTGTTGTTCCATCACATGATTTACTTTTTCACTGTTCTTCAAACTTAACATATTTCATACACTGTTTTCATTAGAGATTCATTTCAACTGACCTTGGGCTTTCTGTAAGACACTAGCAACAACAGCTTCATTTTCGATTGGGTTGAAAGAGCAGGTGGAATACACAATCCGACCCCCAACCTCCAGTAGCTCAGCCCCACGCAACAAGACACGGTGCTGAAGACTAGAGAGTGATAGAGCAAGAACCAGCGTCAAAGTTGGTGCTACAGTCAAGTCCAGTCACAAGTCCTTTCATTAGTCCTTTCCCAAGTACAGACACAAGTCCTTTCATAAGACCAGTCACAAGTCCTTTCCAAAGTACAGACACAAGTCCTTTCACAAGACCAGTCACTAGTCCTTTCCTAAGTTCAGTCACAAGTCCTTTCCTAAGTTCAGTCACAAGTCCTTTCCTAAATCAAGTCACAAGTCCTTTCACAACAGCACTCACAAGTCCTTTCTCAAGTCCAGTCACAAGTCCTTTCACAAGTCCAGTCACATGTAATTGGGTGAACTATAACACAGAAATGACTGAGTTCACTTTGACAGCTTGTAACATACAGTGCAGCTTGAGACTGACATGTTTGTTGTGAAATTGTGGCAGAATGGGATATTGTGGGGAGCTGAGATGGACAAGACCACATCACTGATCAAAGTTCTCCCATGATCTGACCAGGCTGTCAAAGCATTAAAAACATTCAGATTGTACATGGCCGTAATATTCAAATTTGAAGTTGTACACTCATTTGTAAAGATGGCTCACATGTGAAGATTCAATCCACTATTTGGTGTCCACTTCTTCCATATCATGAAGTTCTTCCTTAAAGTTCCGTCACCACTGAAAAGCAAAGTTTCAAAAAAAGGTTCTCTTGTAAAGGAAAGGTTTTACTTGCAATAAATTGCAAAATCACAGGATGTGACTTTTCCATTTTGTTTTGACACAAGGCATGAACTTCTGTTCCTGAGTGCATCATCTCATGCTTTCAAACTTGGTTATAATTCCTAAAAAGACAATACGACATTTGAAATGTGAACCAAAAAGCAAAAAAAAGACAGGACTTTGGATTTGCAGTGTTTGTTTTTAGGAGTCCAAACATTTAGCCCAACAACTTTAGAATTGGTGTATTTCAGGTCACACCAACCGTTAATCATTTCAATATACTGTTCATCCCCTGGACAAAAAGTCCAGATTCCTTTTCTTTTTACCTGCACGGAACATCGCAAAGGATGCGGTCATACTTCAGCGGGGTCAACTTCCTGCCTTCTCCCTGCTGAACTCTGATAGTAGGAAAGACAGTGGCATCGTGATTGACGATCATGCAACAAGGGCTGTTCAATCTCTTGGCTTGATGCACCATGATGTAGCATCGCTTGTTGTCAGAGTCATTGGCTACCACAAAACCCTCTGGTCAGGCAAGGGAATGGAATGAAAGTGCGTCGAAGTTACGCTCGTCCAAAACAAAACAAAACAAAACTAGTACCGAAACAAAAAGCAAGAAGTAAAAAGTCTTGGCAATGAAACAGAACACACCAATTTGAAATGTTGTATGGGTCATTCTACAAATTTAGGGTCCACTTTTTTCATGTTCCTGTCACATCTGATATATGAGTTTGCAAGTTTAGAACAGATTCTTTCATTTCAAAGAGTGATTAAGAAATGCAAAATACCTGCCAATCAAAATTGGTTTGAAGTCAAACGCACATATACCTGCGCGCCCATGTGGCGAGTTGGTACCAAAAGGACCGTTAATTTCATTTACAAACACGCCCTCTTTTGTTCCGCTCGGAGCAGATAAAGAGGACAGGGCTTTGTGTCTCCTATAATGTAACACCTCTCCCACAGATCTGCTAACACACTTTGTTTCAAGGACAGCTTTTGAAGAAAAATAAAATGACTACTTTTTTTAGGGACAGGAAGAAATCCTGTGCTCCCTCAGTGTGTTTGTCCACTATACAGTCTGCTCTTTTGATATCACAGTCGTGTTTTTCCTACAAGTGGCTGCTAAAACTATGGTCGGCCATCAGTACAAAAGTAAATGAATAATTCATAAAGTGTGAAAAATCCCACACAGCTATCAGAACACCTGATAATAATACACGTATTACTAGATACTAAATGAAAATACGAACCAATTTAAAATCGATGAGACAAATGTCCATCTTTAAGGAATTGGAGGTAAAATCGAAAACCAACCAAAAGGCAAGTTTTCTGCAAACTCTGGCCGCCATACAAGTTATAGGCAAAATGAGAGTGGTCTTTAGTAAAGCCAATAAACAAGCCCGCATAATAATAGACAAAACACGACGACTACGAAACAGTCTTTTCATTCACAACGGTCAGATTGTAAGCACGCTAATAAAACACACTGGTTCTCCCAAGTTTTCATGTACCTGTGGCTTTTTGACTGCTCGGCCTGTCGGCACAGAGGGCGGTTGGGTTTTTATCGACTGTTCCTTTAGCTCAACATTCCAATAAAAGCGAACTGGAAATCCAGGTTCAGTCAATGTACTTTGGCCAAACACTGATTCAGCCCAAACGCTCCAACACCTTTCAGGATATGAGAAGGTGGAGCCAAGACACTGCTACTTTAGTTAGGAACTGATGCACCTTAAAGCAATAAGTGCAATTAAAGACTGTGTCACAAGTTCCTTTCACAGGGGTAGATGTTGGAGGTTCTCAGCAGGAACACTCCAAGATTAACAGTGAACCCAACATAGTTATTTTATTTCAAAAACCCAAGCAGTCGATTGGAATCAGACACATGATCAGCAACAGGACAACAGAGATGAAAGACGCAAAAGAAAAAAAAAAACCTAGAAACCTGGCTCCTCTTCCAGGCCAATAACGAGAAACAAACACTTTTCACTGACCAGGCCATCCATAAACTTGTTCGGCATGGACCAGCTCAATCAGCTGTGCTGTCTTGGAGCCCGGGGCCGCACACATATCCAGCACTTTGTGGTGAGGCTTGACGTCAAGTAGCAGCGGCGGAATCATGCTGACAGCCTCCTGCCGACTGATGTTGCCCTGTAAGGGGCAATCCAGAAAAAAAAAGGAGATTCACTCAAAATATCAGAACTGGTATACATGTATGGACTGTCAAAGGTCACTAGGTGCATGTCTACATGCCCGGAAAGGCCGACAGGAGGAGGGTACTGTTTCCTGAGGCTGATAGAAAACTTGGGAAAATATTTTAAGTAAAACTCAGAAATTTTTAAGCATGGAAATGATGCATGTCTTGATGCGAGTCTAGTTCACGGTGACACAAATTTCATGCACTAACCTGTATTAGTGAACCCCATGTGATCATATTTCAGCCAACCAGGGTTAAGAACCAATAAGAGGTGTGTTATAATCTCTCATACGGGTAGATTCCCATTAGGAGTGCAAACCTTGAAATCTCTCATCATTTCACATGATTACGTTTATTGTCTGGAAAAGCCAGTTTTAACAAGAAATTAATATCAGGTCCTAAACAGCAAGGTGAAAGAAATAAAATGACTCAAAGACGATGTGGGGTAAAAAAAAATCAAAGATCACATCATCATGTTGGTGCTCACTTCACAACTTTGGGTAAGCTAATTGAAGTCATTAAATGAAGGTAGAAAGCCGATCTATGTATGAAAATCTATAAGGAGTAAATATAATGCACTGTAAGGGCACTTCTCACAGAAAAACGCCTGCAACTCAAGGAAATGGGACCTAGGAAAAATTCCACGGAGCTGCTTAACAGTTAGCAGAAAAATCATCCTAGCTTTAGCAGAAAAATGTGCTACCCTTAAGCACTATTTCATGATGGTGCTTAGCATGGTTTTGCTAACAGTTGCATTCGCATAGCGATTTCTATTGTTATGTCACTAAGCTTAAGCAAATTTTTCCTCCAGGGGTTAGCATGCCTTTGGCTGTGCTTACTGCTTATTGTCTCCGTGAAATACGTGGAGCCTCTGTTAGCATGAAACCATGTGCTCAGCAGAGCAGCGAAATTGGGCCCAGATGGCATCGTACTACCAATGTAGCATGTTCTAAAACATGGAATATTGATGTTTTAGATTTACCAGAAAGTCAAAAACAAATAAGATCAAAGAGGGTTTCTGATAGAAAAGACAAATTAACAGAAGTTTTATCTCATTCACATTATCATGTTATTTTTGCTGATTGTGATGTTTAGCTTCAACAGTTCATAAACCGATGCCTTGTTATACAAGTCTGCAACTTACACTCTCTGTTTCCGTGATCAGGAAATCGTGGAGTTTCTTGTACTCTGGCATCTTGCGGATACTCTTTCTGGTCACGCCAAACTGCCAAGCGAGTTCATCCGGATACCTGAGATTCATATCAAGTAACAAGTTTTGACAAGGACTGAGAATTGTTTCTACAGATTTTCTTTGTTTCCTTTATTAAAATACCATCATGATCATCATCAAATCACTGTCATCAACAAATCAAGAATTAGTGTCTTTGGTTGCAAATGTTATCAAGCTCTACAACCATCATTCATGACTAGATCCCACAAAATAAGCCTCAAAGCTATTTTTTCAAGAATTCTTTTAGTTTGTTAGAATAAGCTAAACTTGCATTGAATCACTCAAGTTTGGCATCCTCATGAAAATGGGGCATTACAGGTATACCGGTGAAATATGCGGAAGGATTTCTAATGATTTCCGCTGTGCAAGATTGCTTTAAAGGCCTTCAACTCAAAAACGGCTCTGGTGACATGTGGCTTAACTTGGTAGACTGAGTCAGGTCGGAGAATGAATCCAGGCTCTGTTGGAAGCATGTTGCCCGTAATACAATTGTCATTTGTTTCAATCACCCCTCCCTGGAAGCTCCACCCAGGACAAAGGGCCTGCCACTTTTAAAGGGGCCAAATCCCCACTCTGGGGGCAACATTTCAATATAGCATGCCAGGGTAAAAATTCATGTGGTCTCAAAAATGAAATGCCCCAACCCGGGGCAAATCCTGGCAAAACCCTGGTATAAGACCCAGGGAATTGGAGGAAGAAGTGGGGTGGAGGACAGGGGTGTGAAGCACACATTTGATGGAACAATAGTAAAAAAAAAAATAAAAAATAGGGGTCAGCTGCGGTTAAGTTGGTGTCAGTCTTGAATGGCCAATGACTGTACATGTTCGGCCATTGAGCTTTTTCTTTCAATTTTCTTGAGAGGGCAGTATCATCTGCAAGAACACCATCCAAAATGATTTCAACCCTATCAATGTGACGATCCCAGGGAAATCAAACCCTGTAGATCCAGCGTGAACTGTCTTCTGCAGTCTTTTGATCATGCCTTTCCACTGTGCATCTTACCATGGCATCGGTTTGGGGCGTTCCAGGACTTCACCATCCACCGTTTTGTCGACCAAAGCACTAATGTAGTGCCCCTTCAAGTAGCTCAACATATGCTGGGCGTGACTGAATGGGACAAAGACAAAAGGGACTTGTGTTACTGTCGGGGAAGTTCACAAGTAAACTGAACGTATGTCAGGTATCCTGAATGAAAATAACTTGAAAGGCACGACTTGACATTTTTGGATTGTCCTCCAATCGTCTCAGTGAGAAACACTTAGGCTTAATGGTAAAGGGTTACAATTTTGAGGATCCACCTTCTCCATAAAAATGGTCAGCTCCTGGAAGATAGATTAATTCACCTACTGTACGATCTTAGTTCCCACACTTATTAAGTTTTCAAGACAGGTTTACGGTGGTTGTCTTGCTTTCAATTCATGATTTGAGAAGCACGAGAGTACGACCTTTGTACAGCTATTTGTATACCGCAGCTCTTTGGTGCCAACGGCTCTTGCTGTACCACTGCTGGAGCTTTAGCCATGACATGCTTAAAGAGAAAAATTCGACCAAGAAGTACGGTACACTGTACCTTCGGTAACCAGTTATGCGAAACGTCACAGGCAGTTCATCTCGCAGAGTGGTCATAAACTTGTCCCAGTCCTCCCCCGGTATAACACCCTGCTTCTACAAATCAGATCACACATGCACAATGAAAGAACTGGGTTTCTAAGCTTTAAACAAAGCAAAACAATTGCATGTGAGATTCCATATGAGGAAGGCTTCCCCCCCCCCCAGAATGCACACCGCCTGATGAACATGCATGATGGAAAACAAGGCAGAGATTGTCTCGGGTGTTTTTCTTCATACGCTCTGTGAAGCAAATGACAATTTAAATTCTTGGAGGTGCTGCAACTGGTAAAAATGACTTGGTTTTGTTGACTACATGAACATTCACATTAAACAGTTCAAAGGACCTCTATACTATAATGTCTTTTAATGTGTTTCTTGTAAACAATGCTCCTTTGTTAACCATTTAACCAGATTTTCAATTTTTGTTGGTTATTTGCACTTGTTTCAAATTGTCTCGCTCAGGTAAATTTTTATATACACTGTATGAGCAAAGCTGTGATGTCATTCCAAAGCCGGAACCTGTGTGATGCTATTACAGCAATTTCTGAAATCAAATTTGCCAGAATTTCAGACATTTTGCTGTTGTACATGTATGTTTTCTTTGCAACTTTGGTGATCTGGTGTTGTTTCAGTTCAGGGCAGCTGGCCAGTGAGGAAAGGTTTCTCACAGATTTTTTTCGTGAGCAACCTTTGGACTAACAATTTGAACAGAAAACTCTGAAAATGAATGCTACATTCCTTTCATGACCTCTTTGCAACAGCGCCCTTGTTTGTCAGGTAAAGCATGGCTAGAGTTTTAAATTGTGCAGTTTTTCTGTGAGTGAACAAAAAGAGATGTCAGTAGTCTTCTTGCATGTCAAAGGAAAAAATTGGCTGAAAAATGTTCCCCGAGAAATATTCACATCACTGACCCGTTAAATCCCTCTCACAAAGCAGCTGCTTGATGCCAGGACATTTTTTCTGAGCAAGTCTGAACTTGGGCAATTTTGCGACTATTGAAGAGGAGGGGTCACCACGCGAACTACAAGTTAACAAAGTCAGGCACTTACCTTGTAGTAATTTTCAAATGCTTCATTCTTCTTCTCGATTGGTCCATATGAGTATCTATGATATCCCTTAAAATAATAAGCAACCCAGTATGAATACAATGAATCCAAATTTTTATTTTATCATTTCATGTATTTGGATACAAACATCATTCTTGCCTCTTGTTCTTAACATCATTCGCAAAATCAATCTTGCTTGTGAAAATTCCATCATGTAAATAATCATTATTAATCACAAACCTTAGAAAGTGTGACATTGACAACAACCTTCACACTGGCCCATAATTGTTGGCCTTCCAAATGAATGCTGGTTTATTGCTACTGCCACGACTGCACTTAAAGAATATTGCAATATTAGTAAATAATGTGGTACTTTATTTACCTCTCTTAAAGCCATATCACCCTGTAAGTAAGTTCCCACAGGGTGATATTAAGAGAGGTAATTAAGTTGTCAGGATAATCCCTTTACAAGGTCAGGAACATCAGAATGTGGTACATATGACAGATAGGTAGATTCTTGGACCCAGACGGTGGTGGTACTATGGCCGATACGCTATGTTTTGAATCATGTGACCGTCATTTTGAGGGTACATTTATTTGTGTAAAGAACGAAAACGCGATTTCCGGAATCTACGGACCTTGTTAACTTCAAAAACTTTGAATCCGCAGTAAAACTTTTTGCCAAAAATATTTATTCCACCCACAAAATGACATGGCGACGTTCATACGAAATCCCAATTTCAGACAAATATAACCGAATATCCTTAAACTGTACTTTAATTTTACTTTTTCATCCTACCTGTGGTAAATGTTTGATTAGATTAACATTAAAGGAGAAAACTGAAACATTGAAACTGAAAATTACAGGGTACCTTGCACCATTATCTTCATCAGGTCATCTCTACTGTTGCAAAGAGCACCCCCCTGACTTGTTTTTCAGACTGACGAGAGCTGATGACAGACTCTTATTAGCCAATCAGTAAGTGGTATTTAGGTCATATGACCCACAATTAACATTTGGCTTCATTTTCCCAATGATAAAAGTTCAGCGCTACAATTTTTTTCAATCTTCAAACATCTTAGTTGAAACTGTCATTTCCAATAAAAAATCTATCGTAAATATATCTATACACCTTAAAAAAATGCATTAAATTTAATCAGAAGCAATAAAAGCGACAACTTAATTGCCATAAGTGCAGTGAAAATCATTCCAAAAATCATACCACATAAGCATAAAGCTGAGATCGCATACATATCCTGCGAGCCAAAAAACCCACATGGGGATCAATAAAATCCCGTCAAATTTCAACTAAAACATAATCAAACAATTATAGAAATGAGAAAAGTAATCTCGTCTTTGATAAAATCACTGCAGGTTTCGACGACTGTTCTGATGTGATATTTAACCCAGCTGAGAAGAGTGAAATTTCAACTGGTTTTTCACAATTTTTTTCTGGACAAAATTAAATGGCAGACCTGTAACTACGTCATCAAAGTTTGTGTATTTACTAAAAAATGTCAGAAAAGGGGAGTCTGGATAATTTGGTTATTTTTAGACAAGGGAGAAATACCAACACGGCAACGCTGGAGCACTAAAATTCGACCGACGAAAAAAAAGAAAACAAGGCCGGGTACAAAATAGTGCTGTTCAACAAAGTTTGCCGCATACTCATCATAGGCCCTATGTCCAACCTAGAGGCTCACATTTGTTTCGCAGCCCACCAAAAATGTGAAAATGCCAGCCCACACTAGCCTAACATATATGATGCGATGATGTGCAACATTGCAGCATAGGTCTAATGTTATAGTTTCACAATAAGGCATGTCATTGTCAGGTGTCACTAAGGTGGCGCTAACGTTAGTTAGCCGGCATAGTCATGAATGCCCGGACAAGCATCGTGTGATCATCATTAATGCACTCACGTCTTTTTCTTCTCCCGACTGATTCTTGTTCTTTCCCCATCCTTTTCCCTGACCCTTCTGCTTGAACTTTCTCCTCTGGTGCCTGGCCATGATTCAGCTAACAGTAGAATTAAAACGGCTGAGCAACTGCACTTGATCGAAGGATTGGGGTTTGTAAATACGATTTCACGTGCACAAGGAAGCAGCCATATTTTTTTTAACTGGATGGGGTTTCACGCAAGAGGGCGCTTTGACTCGTCGCGTGTCATTATTTAGTGTGACCTTCAAGAACGCTGCAAGATAATTGTGACAAAAATAATTGTTTTTCTCGCACATTAAACAACTTTTAAAGTCCAGACGATTAGAGATTAGTCTTTTATCCATTTGATATCGTAAAAAAGATTTCAACGGAATTTCGTCTCATCTGACGATCATCAACAGAATGGGGACAAAAATAATGCCAACAATGTCAATTTGAAATAAGCTTAAGCATTTTGTAGAAACTTCGAAACTCTGATAATGTTTATTATTTGTCTTACCAGTGGCTAGACCAATTATTGCTTATTTTCATAGCCTCTGACAATACCAACTGGAGCCGCTGTAAATTCTTAGGTTATACACTATTGTGCCTTCTGTCTCGCTTATTAACTGCAGCATGCAGCGCTGTTGGTGTTCTTGGTGCATTGCCATCACGGTGATCTATGCCTAAACAAATTCCTCTTTCAGCCCGAGTTCTACTTTCGTGCACATGCCCGAGTGACTGTTTGAGCTTAATCTTGCTTATTTTTTATGCTAATTATTGGGGTGATTCTCAATCTTCTCAGATGTTTTTGGTAAAGCTTTTCAGGTTTGTACACTATGTTAGTACATATACTAAAATAACGTCGAGAAAGGGGGATCGGCGGCCGGGAAGTGCGAACACGTGGCAGAAGCAATTTCAGCCTGGGGTCAGGGGCCGACACTGAGGGCCGCCATGATATCACACTTCCCTTCTCGAAGCGTGTAAAAGCCCCGCTTGTACTATAGTAGCCTTGGCCCTCATGAAGGTCAGAAAAGTTTTATAAATCAGAGAATAATTCAATAAAAAATGTCATTTTAACAGGAGGTTTTGCATTTGGCCGAAAAATTTTTTGTAATTACGTAATTACAAAACAGGGGATCATCATAGTAGCCATTCTGATCTGCGCAAGGTTAATACACTGGTTCTGGATCCGCCCATGAAGCGAGACGGACCAGGGTCTGATTAGGGCTTGTTTGCCTTCACGCGGATCCGAATCACGATCAGTAATCCGACGTTAGTTCACTGACACCAGAACGTGCCTATTGGATAGCGAGAACCTGCTTTGGGATCACTGATGGAGATTCAGATCCGTGTGAAACAAACAGGGCCCTAGATCTTATCCTCTTCTCTCAATCCCGGCCCCCTGTCCAAACTGAATCAGATTCGGTAATGCTGGCCTGGTATGCCGCCTGGACCAGTAGGGGAAATTCGCGCGGAACACTTGTAGTTGTACAGCTAGTGCTGCGCGAGACCATTGTGAGGACCGTAGTTACCTCCAACATCCATGATCAAGAGCAAAAGATCAGCACCCATTTGGAGCATGGAGCTATTAAACACATAGCTCCACGTTTGGAGACAGCTGCACAGCGTCGGCGACCCCCCCCCCCGGTATCTGGGGCGATGTTGACTTCTCAGGGTTTCCTGACGCGTGGAAATTAGGGTAAACAGTGGTAAGAAATCAAAGTTAAATCGTCAGTGAATTCAATTTGTATTGGGAATTGGGGCGTAGGGTGGGGGTGAGGAATGGGGGGCGGGAACTTGCCAGCCATGGAAATTTGACAAATTGGGGGAGGGGGGGTTGCTGATACTATTTGGCACTATATAGAGGGCGGTGTTCATGATAGAGATGCACCTCCGTAATGATGTTTTACTTTCCTGCAGAATCTTACATAAAAACAGCACATGTCTTTTCTATTGCTCCCCCCTTGAGTGCTAGTGAATACTTTTTGGTTGTTGGCAAGTCCGACTTATACTTCACAATCCGCCTTATTTTTTTCCCACCAGGAAGAAGGTGAGGGAGGGATGATTCAATAGCCCCCTTCCCCCGTCAAAAAGTGTAGGATTATATCCCCGCCCCCAGGATTTACGCCCATAGCAATCGTGCTCTATTATGAGGTTGACTGAGTTGCGTTGGACTCATGCATAAACACAGAACGTGAAGCATGAGTTTTTGCATTGACGGCATAGGGAGACGGATGGGGTGGGGCTCAACGGAGGCCATGCCCACCCCTGAAATAAATAAGTAATTTAAATGAAAAAAAAAGTAATGAGAGATGGACAGTGCCTGGCCTGCGTCATTACCTATTCTTCCCAAAGAGTGGAAACCCCCCCCCCCACATCAGGGATGGATCCGGGGGGGCGGGAGGGAAGCACGCCTCCCCATTTCACCAAAAAATTAATTAATAAATAGAAAGGAAAAAAAGAGGGAGGGGAAGAGGGGTCAAACTGACTGAAATTGCTCCACAGAGCGCCTTGAAGCCAAAATGGCCCTGGACTCCACGCAGTAAGGACTTCGCGTTGCGCACTTGCGGTCATTTACCATTGCTGCCCTTAGGAAAATCCTGGATCCGCCCCTGAAAATATAGCTGCAACCCTCACAAAACTACCCAAAAAAAACAAAATTTTTCCTTCGAGCAATTTTTGCTCCCCCAAATAGTTGGTCCTGGATCGGCACTTGACTGAACAGACCAGTGCAAAAACTGACCGTCGGCAATAATGCATACTCGGTGACCAAGGGTTCCTTCGATCTGGAGTAAATTTATAATTAGGGTGGATCGAAAAAAGATGGGGTGCCCTTGTGGGTTCATACCCTTGCAGGATCCCATCCCCATTAGAGAGTGGTAGGCATGGATTATAACCGAAACCTAGCAGCCGCTTTGACTGTTAGTTCCTTGTTTCGTTTGACCGCCTCAGGTGGACAATAAGTGTGCGCCAGAGTGTGAAAAAACACGGGGTAGGCCTACTCTGGTTGTTTAGATAGAGTGACTAAATACTCCGCGCATGAAAGCAGTCTGCCAACGAGACTAGTCTAAACACACACAACGTGTTGCTATCAACTATCTCCGACTGGAGCGGAGGATTATTACGACTCAAGAAGTACTAATTGTATTTCCCTCACGATGAAATTAACTGTCTCGATGGCGATCCTGGTGATTATTTTGTTGGTCTCGGCCCTGACAGATGCAGCCAGAGAGGAGGTTCTCACGTCAAACAAGTCCTTCTTTAAGTTGGACCACAACGGTGAAGCAACGGGAGCAGCCGCTGGCCGGCAGCGGTTTAAGAGGCAGGCTACCTCGGCGGACCTCTCGGCTGATGAGATAGCTGCTTACTTGGACAAGCACAATCAACTCCGCGGACAGACTGTGCCCCCAGCCGCCGACATGAAATATATGGTAAGACGAACAATCTTCTCGTACATCAGAAGTCACAAACCAAAACATCAGCTCACTGGAAAAAAAATCATACAGCGCGAAAGAATCTAGGAAATTGATTTGAAAGAATCATTTTTCTCTGCTCATCATGACATTTCATGTCAGTTGTTCTTAAGAAATGTTTAAGGGTGGTTTTAAGCCCAAAATGGGACCGTGAACGCGTGTATTAATTTCTGCAAGCATTGTGCCAAATTATCTGTAAAATCAAGTAAGTATTGCTTAAACAGGATACAAAATGGTAGCAGAAACGTAACTTCAAAAGACGATAGTTAATCGCCGCGCCAGGGAACAGAAAACAAGACAGTTTGTTTTGTGTATTTGTATTTGTTAACCTTTTAATCCATTTTGTCGTAACTATATACACTGTACTTTATACGAGGAGGCATTAATCATTATTTGTTTTGTTGGTAGGATGGACTATCTCAACTGATTTAATCTTCTCCCCATTTTGTTTATCTTACCATCAGTGACCATTCTACTGGCTAGCTGTGGAACTAAAACTGAAGGTGTAAAGAATTTGTTGTTCAGGGAAAATATTTCATAAACCATGCCTTTTAATCTGTTTACACATTTTCTTTAACAGTGTTTTCGTGTCAGAAATGAACTGCAAATTGAATATATCCAGTATATTTCACATGTTGTAAAGTCCCGAATCCGGAGTCTGTCTGAGTCAACCAGTCGTTTTGTTCATGAATTGCTTACGTCACGATAACGTGAACGTGTCATGCTTTTTAAATACGTAAAAAACATACGTGAACATACGTGCTACCATGTACGTCATAATAAACACCAAATCGACAACAATAGTAGTTGATAAGACCTTTCTGGGTATTGACCTCAGGACTTTCTAACATGGAAAGTATGTCCCATGGAAAACATTCCCTAATTCACTGAATAATACTTTTCCGAACATTTCCTTGTGAAATGAAACGAGGCCATTTCCTCATTGTGACAATGCCGTTCAATCCACACATCGCCCACACGATACGCGCAGCCACCTTTTAGTGGTGGGGGGGGGGCAAATTCAAAAGCGAATGTAGTTTCGGGCTCATTGAACATGATGTTGGAGGAGAAAATATCAAAAGCCTTTCTGGTGGTCCTAACATCCTTGCTTTCATCTGCTGGTGTTGTTTTCTTATCTTCGATACCGATTTTTTTTCTTCCTACTCACCTATGAAATATTCTGGAAAACGATCCGTCGGGGGTACCAAGTTCCCCCCCCCCCATTACACCACACTGGATACAAGGTTTGTTTTTTATTCTCATGCCAATAATTACACGAGGCCTCTTTCAAAGTTTCAAGGTTGGCTAGCTTTGATTACCGTGACAAAGGCTGTGAATGGCAATTATTGAACTGTTGCCTGAAGCACGCCACAGGTATGAACTTACATGGAGCGTCTCCACAACTACCCCCTTTTTACCTTGTTAAAGTATGCACTTAACCCTACAAGAGAAGTCCTCAAATACAGAAGTATGTTTTTTATCGCTTCTTATCCGTGCATTTAACACAGAAGTTCACTTCGACAAAGGATTGCTTTCCAGCATTGTTGGAACAATCAGCAATACGCTAGAAAAGAGTATGGAAGACATCTACTGCACATGCCGAGGGATTTCTAAATCGGAATTAATAATCAGACAAATTTTGGTATTGAAGCATGCATCTTATTCCGATGACTACAGGCAAGTCCATAGGTGTGTTGTAAACATGACGTCTACGCACAAATGCTGGGAGAGTAGACACGCCCCTTGCAGATCCCATACCAAATGCTGTGCTACCCTCCGTCTTTTTTTTTACCAATGCTAACGTCTGCCGTTCTTGCTCTTTTGCTATTAAACAAAGGCATGCAAATGTTGACAAGTCCTGCTGAATAAATAAAACGGCAAACTACTCAGTACTGAGTACACTTCGTGTCAAATTTTCCTATTAATTTTGAATACAGCTTTCATTGGCCACTTTGGGAGACACTGGTGACTTTAAATTCAGACCGTGACGCTAGAGAAAATTGCAGGTTCAGTCTATAAACAGGTGTACCACAGACCTGACATTTTGGCGTGTGGAGGGAACAGAAAGAAACAGGGACACGTTGTTTCTATTGACACACGCACTTTACTTGAGCCGGACAGTATACACTTCCTCCAGTTATTTTTATCATTTCAAGTTTCACACTCATATAGTCCCCATTTTTGAGAGTCTGTGACTTATTGGACTGACATGAAACCTCCTCGCCCTACTTAAATAGTTTTCCCCGCTCTTTTACATAAACATCCATATATAGAGCCTTTAACCTCCCCCCCAATAAATTCAATCGCTGGGAATTCGGCTCGCAATTTGAGAATGATGACCATCTTGCCGTCCGTCCTTTTTTACAAGCGGCCCGAGAGTGAGACACTTCATTCTCGGCAAACAGGAAAAACATGACTACCCGTTACTCCATGCAAATTATTGCGACAAAGTGGCGATTAAGCCTGGATAATCAGGGTGGATGGCAATAGGGGAATTATGGATCGTCAGATCAACGTCTTACTTCAGATAATCTCTCGAATAATGAGCCTTGCTGTAGTGCCGTTTTCACTACGCAGGTTGTCAAGTACATGTATACCCAATCTACATGTACGACATCAATCGCTGAATTAAGGAATTCAGTGAATAGGTAAACCCCATACATCCTCAGAAACAGAATTATGAAGAAAAACTCCCCACAGCAAGAAAGCCGTTCTCATAATGACCTGTGTTTTCTTATTCTGTTGACTAATTAAGAACATATATCTACAGCAATGATCAAAACTGTTTCTCAATTCTTGCGTGTGAACCTAGCTTACTGCTACATCAAAAGCCATTGGTGACAAAATTAAAGCAGTGGGACACATTACTGCTAAAAACCACAAATCAGACCGAAAAACGACCCCTTACGCTACCCTCCACCCCAACGCACGGTCATAGACTCGTTGATTTCCCCTCACAATTGAAAATGAAGTCAAATTTCAAATTTACCGATGTCCCGATCTCTACAACTGAAGGTTGCGTGTTTTTGTAAAATCGAGTGAGGGGATGGTCCAAATATCTGTCTCTTGGACCAGCGTGGGCACTGTGTGATTTAACCTCCGTCAATAAGATTTTTGAGCGTGGTCCTCTGTATCTGGTGAACCACTGCTTCACAAGCCTATTTCGTTCTTCAGTAAACATGTTTAGCTAAAGTACCGTGTAAACCCAACACATGTCGTTGGACAGCACTGATTTCTGTATACATAGGTGTCTTCGGGTATCTTTTAGATAGAAAAATGGAAAGCAAATTTGTCGTTCGGATCAGTTGTCTGGTATTTAATTAGCAGCCAAGTGTCAGGTGAAAGGAGCATCGGTTTTCAAGGCCGCTTTAGGAGAGGCTGGGCTCCAACACCTCAGATTATCCATGGAGTCGCGTCGCAATATCGATTAGTTTAGAGAGGACCGAATAATCTCTGCGGTGGGTTTCGGTCGCGTTTGGAACGGACCCCGTTCTCTCTAATAAAAATCATGCAAATGTAACTGCTCGTTGCCATGATGGTGTCTACGCTTGGCTGCTCTGTGGATAAATACCTTTATTCAATTCAGGATATTTCAAAGACATGTACATGTAGATGTGGGGCTTCCGTCCTGCGTCATCCATTGGTTGAAGTGACCGACTCCCCTATACTATAGAACAGTTATAATCACTTTTGCAAGTAATTTAAACTCTTCTGTATTCTTTCCATTCTATATGTTTCCTATTTAATAGCTCCATACCCGATCGAGGGCGGATCCAAGAGGAGGGGACAAAGTAAATATTTTACATGTACACTACAAAAACGTTAGTGCTAAATTGGTGTTGATTTAATACCTACCAGAGGACTACATGTGATGACTACTACGTCAGTTTCTGTTTGTAACTTTGTTGGCCTTTTTGCATGAGGGTTGTGTTGAGGGTTGAAGCCCTTACACTAACAGGGGCGGATCCAGGAATGTTTCCCGGGGGTCAGGCCTTAGGTCTAGTTTTTTAATGTCTCTTTTTTTACCGACAAGCGCAAACGATGATGAAACATCGTTTACAATGGTATCAGTGCACTTACTTTAGTTATTTTATATTATTTTCTACATTTTAAAACCTTTTTCCGTCTTCGGGTGGGGGGGTGACCACCTACCCCCCCCCCGATATGCACCTGCGTAACACAACAGTCAAAAGTTGTTTCAGAGCCGCAACGGGCTCCGTTTAACTACGATTTGACCCATGGATCGCTGATCTCTGCCATGAGAAAAAAAGTTTGTGCAGGTCTTTGGCTATTACAAATGAAGTTCAGTTACTGTTCTGTATAGTGCAGTCAGTTTTTAAAGAATAATTATTTCATCGACGAAAGAAGTGCAGACTGGTTCCCCTCCGCAAATCCAAATTATGGGCGGGAACCAGTGCTCATGCACCTGGCTTCAAAAGGAACTTTACTGATCGGAATACTTGCAACGGTTTGGGTTTTTGGGTTTTTTTTGTTTTTGTTTTTGCATGGAGATTAGCAGGCTAAAGAGGTGCCTCCGTCATGGCTGACGTCACACATTAACTGTCTATATCTCACACTGCTCACAGATCTGGGATAGTGACTTGGCCACCATGGCCCAGCAATGGTCTGACATGTGCATCTGGGACCATGGCCAACCCACCAACATTAGTCCGTTCAGCAGCATTGGTCAGAACCTTTACATAACCTCTGGCGGCACCCCAACCAGACGAATCAATGGGACTGGGCCCGTACAAGCTTGGTATGACGAAGATCAGTACTACACGTACGAGTCAAACTCGTGCCAAACGAACAAGGTTTGCGGACACTACACACAGGTAAAAGACATTGGCGCATGCACTGTGTTTGTTACATGTTGTGTTTTTGTCTGTTGGTTAAGTTCGTTGTTTGTGTTGATTGTAGCTTTTTGGGTTTTGTGGCAATTGTTTCTTTTTCTGTTTGCATTGTGAAGCTATGAGTCATTTTCATAGACGTTCTTGTTTTCCCCTTTTCCCAAGTCTCCAAGTAAGCCTCGTGGTTTACAACTTTTACATTATAGAACTGGTAGAAGTTTGATTGCCTTGGTATTTTCACTTACATTACGTTGTTTTTCGCGAAAATTTTACTTTGAAAATGATTTTAATACAATATTATAAGTTGATGTAGAATTTCGATGTCCTGAAGAAAACATATCGGTCTGCCCTTTTGTAGGTGAACCCATCCATAACCTCTAAGAACCATGATAGAAAATAAAAAAAACCGGATAGTGCTAGACGATAACAGATAGGTGTACCAAAATGGTAATTTTAGGTGAGTTTGAACAGCGAGCTTTTGTCGACTACTATTCGATTTTCCCTGGTAACCTATCCTGGACACTGCGTTAAATAGACCTACGGTTCACAAGTGGTCGTCGCTCAAAGTTTCAAAACACATGTGTCTTTATAGGTTGTCTGGGCAACGAGTTACGCAGTTGGTTGTGCGCAGGCGTACTGCGCTACTGCCACCGGGATCGCATGGGAAGACACCATCATTGTGACCTGCAACTACGGACCTGCGTGAGTGAATTAGCCTTCCAAAGTTCAACAAAGTTTTCCATTGAAAAAAAAAGATTCATTTGAAACTTTCAACAGTCTTTTCATACACTTTAATCACCTTTTTGTAGACGGAACCAAAACCCTAGCTACACTCACTAATTAAAGTTTTTGACCAACAGTAGAAATTTGGATACCGTTTACGTATTCACATGTTGCCTGTAGTATATTACGCTGACAACTTCCAGTTCTGCTTATCACAAAACTGTACTATCCTGCGATGCTGCATATTAAAGTAGGAGAATAAGCTCCTCCCCCAAAGGGGATATGGGAGCTTAAATCAGCTCAGTACATGCAGTTCACCAAATTGTACCAAGAGATACCGTGCACGATACGGGGCCGATGGATACCCCCCCCCGTGTCCAATCCCTATACACACTCTAGACTATTGTTACTTAACACATCCCCCTAGATGTCTGTAAAGGATTCCTGAGATTCCGATCAAACAATGACCAACACAAAGGTGGGGGGGGGGTGCTCTCCGCCCCATATCTTGCATTATATGGACCAAGAATCCTATAATGTTGCGTGGCAATTGTAGAGCACGGATTGGATATAAAGGTAATCACATTCGTGGGTCTGGTTTTTTTTCCTTCTCAGCGGAAATTACAACCGACAGCCCTATATATCAGGCACGCCGTGCACACAATGTGACTCTGGTATCGGACAGTGCTACGGAAACCAATGCAGTAAGATCTGTTCCCCCCTCCCCATTCTGATAATGTCAAGCCTAGGCAATACACATGGTGGAGCCTTGAAGTTGACCATAATGTGATTTTGCAAGAATGTGTAGGACGTATAGGCGAGTACGTCGTCCTTGAGCAACGATGCGAGCGGTGTCATGTTTTTGTTCAATAATATAATGGGAGCTACTCCAAATCTCAGGAATGACGCAGTTGACGAATAGAGACAAGGCAGGAATTGACTAAAAACAATTTCACTCGATGATTCAAAGTTTAGCTTTATTTTCTCAACTGAATGAATTTTATTCTCCACATTCGACAGGGCTGTGCTCAACCCATAACGAGGAGTGTGGTGAGTCAATCATTTAAAAAAATCTGTCTGTTTGTTTTTCTCCGTTGATTTAAATCCATATCTGTTCCATGCATTCTCTTAATCTTAAATCTTCAAAACCCCACATATCTTACCTGTGATGTATAGTGACCCCGATATTCACCCGTTCTTCAGTTTGTGCACAGGTTTGTGAGAACTGCGGGACTTTGGACAACGCCGCGTGTTCCTGCGCATGCCCGAATGGCTTTTACGGCAGCGATTGTGGAAGTACGTAGGCCGATCCACCTTGTGTGTAACGAGATATATAAGAGAAGGCTTCACATACCTATGTAACCGGTTCTATGATGCTAAATGACGTCAGTATACCAGAGGCCATTGTCCCAATTGGTGATTTCATCTTAATGTCACTGCCATGCACTGTGGAACCAAAAATATTTGCTAAATTTTTTAATTCGTTTTCAAACTCGAGTAATCCGTCGAGAAGCAGCTAGAGACTTTTTTTTTTCAACTTGTTACAAACTTATGGTATTTAATAATCATTGCTTTTCTTTGCAGCGGTTTGTGAGGACACGCATCAGTACTGTGGCGCCAACCCGGGCTGGCCGACGTCCTGGTGTGACGATGACCACAGCTATGTGCTGACTAACTGCCCTGCACTTTGCGATCTGTGCGTTAGTAAGTAAAGCCGAGAATTATATTTTCGGTTTGAAAAGAGAACACTCATCTAAAGAGAAAAAAGTATAGCTCCAAAATTCAGGATTTTGTTGGAATGCTTGTTTGTAAGTGATCATGCTTACGGCACAGTGAGCCATCGATTGATGGCCTGAACACACAATGGAGCTTTTAACAGGTGTCAAAGAGAAATGTTTTTAGGAAACATAAGTTGCATTTTTTTCCCGAATGGTGGTGAAAAACACGACGGTCCTTTGCAGACATTTAGCAGGAAACGCTGCCCGACTACGGGGACACAAGCTGTTTTATTTGCTATGTCGGTGTTTGGACTTCCTTGCAATTCTTCTCCACTGAAGTTGTTCCACTCTAGTTGAAACGACAAGTGTCTTAGTCCACAGCTACGTGCATAGAAAACTGTATGATTCGCCCGGACCCAGTGCCGTTTAAATTGGTAATCCTTGTCTTGCTAGGAAGGAATATTTTCACGTCCTCAAAGTATCACGTTGAAGAACTTACATGAAGAAATGAGCTTTAACCCTAACCCTCCTCAATCCTTCACCTGTTGGAGGACTGAGGAGTGTTAGGGTTAAGTAAATGGATTTGATGTAGAATCACTAACGCAAAAAAAAAATTGCCCCCCCAAAATTGCACACAGTCATGTAAAGCGCTCCGTTGACAGCTGATAGTGTGGCATCTGTGCCAGTTCGCTGCGCTCTTAAAAGGTGTACAGGTGAAAGTAACACAAGTACCAAGCAATATAAACAGGGAGTCTGGTCAGCGTTCCCTACAGTATGGTTTGAATTGTGAGTTACGGACTAGTCCATGATACCTCCATGTGATGCGAACAAGGATCAGGGTTACATGCGTTTTTATTGACCAGTCACATGACCAGTCTAGGCCAAGGAATATACGATATAAAGACAGGGGTATAACGATAACTGATAATGAAGTTTTCTCTCCGCTGTGTGACTTGTCACTCTAAAAAGGACAGTTAAATTTGACTAGAATTCAGTAAAATTTAATTGCTCTTCAGAGTCAGCTAGGTGCAACTGGAAATTAGTCAACCTGACTAAGTTTTTCCAGTCTGTTCATTGAATTTTAAAAGGCATCGAATAAAAATCTTGTCAGAAATGCATGATTTTCCAACGTAAGCGTGGGTGTTTGACTGAATCCGTAGTCGATTTTGAACAACTAGGAAAATCAGTCAACAATTTGACTGGTTTGTTTTAAGAGTATACTATGTAGTGATAATCTGCACGCTTTATTTTTTTCTCCAGGTATTCAAGATCCGGGCTACTCATGCGGTAATGGCTTTCTTTCTGCTGTTAACTGTTTAGCTGCTCAAGAGCGATCTCATGAACATATAAACAAACATAACTATAATCAAACGTTTGTCTGTAGAACTGGCTCGAATGAAGAACGGTCCTATAATGGGACAATTGGAAACGGCGATACTCGAGGGTAGCACATGCTTTCGGAAATTAATGTAATTGTTATGCTGAGCTGTCACAGAAAAGTTTGGGGTATTCTTTTGTTAACAATAAAAATACCAAAGAGGCAGTTCTCGGACATTGCCCCCTAAAAAAGAGAAACTACAATTTTGTAATCAAACCATTACTCCTGTGATAAAGTAACAGCGTCCTCCAAACTCTCCTGATAGTTTCAAATACTTCTCTTATCTGCAACCAGTTTCGAAAATCCCTAGTTTCTGAACTTCCTCGTCAAAACTTACCGAAGAAATTTCTAAAAAAAAAGGCCCGGAAAGCTGCTGTAGGACTGGTCATTTGAACGATTTTGAACCGTGGGCCTCATAAATCGTAGTCTAGACTGCACACAATTCTATGAGCAACCTGACAACTTCTAATCAGTTACTCTATGTCACACTCTCTAAAGCATTTTTGGGTAAAAATTTAAAATTAGATCCCTCTACAGCTACGACTGCCGCAGCAACCGATGCACCCACAGTTGCATCAACAAACGCACCAGCAACCAATGCAGCCACAGTTGCATTAACAAACGCACCAGCAACCAATGCTGTGACAAATGCAGCAACCAACCCGCGTACAACCGCTGCAGTCGGTATGTATGAGTTGCATAATCCTGGTACATGAATGTGTAAGGTAGGCATATATTACCGACATTATTCAATTTTTGCCAACATCGTTTTTTATTCGAAATCCGCAGGCTTCAACATTTACTTCCACTGATGTAGTGGTTAAAAGAAATCAATAATTTCTAGATTTAAAAGATTTAACGTTACGTTAGAGTTCTTCAACACGGACGGATGTTAATAGACAGAATTGTGATGATAAGTGTTGGTAAATAACAAGCCGTTAACCACTCAACTCTACTAAATTTGTTTAACCAACTCGGCTGAATTGTTTTGGCCTCACCCTTAATTTGCGTGGATTTCCCTACATTCTATCCACTGTAAGTAGGTGGGCGCGATTCATTGCAAGAACTGTTAGTTTTGGGGTGGATACTATAACTGCCCTAAATCTGTACTGAATAATGAATGCACCTTAAATGTTGTTTTTCTCAACCACGGTGAGAGTAGGTACAACAGCATGCCCGGACGTGTCGTGTTCCAACGGGGGGACATTGGATTCTTCTACATGTGAATGCATGTGTACATCGGAGTACCAGGGAGACACCTGTCAACGTAAAATATACTTTCTCCCTTGTTATCTTTTCCTTCATAAACATCCTTTTTCAAATTGTTAGTTATACATAAGGAAGCTACCGTTTTGTGATTGTTGAAAACTCTGCTTTGTTCTGTGCAAGAATTCTTTTCCTGTAGTCCTACACTTTGTTATTTCAACCTTTCTGTCTCAAATTTTAGACGAACGTGAACAGGCCCGCTTTGGTGTGCTAGTTATACTGTTGGCCGATATTGCGTTTGTAAGTTGAAAGTATTTTGTTTCTTGCTTTGTATTTACATGATATAATCGGGTTGGATAACGAACTGACATTTGCGACATATTTTTCTTGCGCAAACCCAAACCAAAAAAAATAGAACAATGATATCTACAGATTGTCAGTTTTCTATATAGAAGATGTATAACGTTTTAAGCCTTTTCTCAAAAAAATATGTTTAGTGTGTTCTGAAATATATGCTAAGCCTGTTCTCAAAAGTATCAACTCAAGTCCATAATGGACCTCAGTTTTAAGTTATTTAGTTTTCATTTCCACATGGACACAGTGGGACTATATCGAACCTTACGTCGTCGATTTTGTGGCTTACATCTTGACGTCCTTCTGCAACGATAGATTCCAGCTGTGTTGCCCAGACAGTGGTACCAAAAATACGTGAGTTCATGTTTCAAGTATATTATGCTCACAAAAGTATTGAACTCAATTTTCCCGATCTGACCTGGCTTACTCTTGAAAGAGATATTGTGGAAATGTCCGCCCTGGGCCGTACGTAGGACCATAGAGCAAGGAACACATCAGAAAGGGGGGGTCTCAGGATCTCAGGACAAGGGACTTCAACATTTTTAAACAGAACATCAGATACCGTGCAGTCTGCTCTATTTGAAATGCCTCAAAGACAACCCAAGACTTCTGCTTTGTGGTTGTCTCATAAGTGAAACAATGGGGCATTGCAAGGATTAGTCCTTGCCACCAGCTTCCTTTAATTTTGTCCACTGTAAAAATCCCCATGTCTTTAAAACCAAGGGTATGCAGGAATACAACTTTTTATTCTAAAGACGACCACGGCATGATGCATAAACCTCTGAAGAGATTATTCACTAACTGTATCACCATATAAGCTTTACTAATTGCACCTCCATTTTGCAAAGCTTCAAATCTGTTTGACATTTCTTCAAGACCATAGGTTTTCGATCCAGTTGAAGGTCCATACTTTTCCCTACTTCCACCATTTTCTCCCTCCTGCTCAGCACTTCGAGGCTGGCTTTCGTGAACGAATCTCACATTGTGACAGCCACCGGCTACCCGGAGCTGTACCCGGACATCAGCGGCGCTTTCGTGGTAATGTTTCTGGTCACCCCACCGGCCACCACGGAGCTCTGCCATCAGGGTGGCACAGTCGTTCCTTCGTCTCGTAGACGTCGGGAGGTTTGGACCCAGGATGACTGGGCATGGCCGCTGAGAATCCGTAAAAGGGCTGTTGGAGACGGTAAATAATCAGGGCGGATCCAGACCCCCCATTCTGCACCCAAAAATAAATCAATGAATAAATAAAAAGAGAAGCAAAAGACGGAGGGGGAAGAAAAAAAAAGGAGGGACCCAGCCCCACGAGGGAGGGACCCAGCTCCACGAGGGAGGGACCCAGCTCCATGAGGGAGGGACCCAGCTCCACGAGGGAGGGACCCAGCCCCACGAGGGAGGGACCCAGCCCCACGAGGGAGGGACCCAGCTCCACGAGGGAGGGACCCAGCCCCACGAGGGAGGGACCCAGCTCCATGAGGGAGGGACCCAGCCCCAC